TAAAACAGCTCAAGGTGTCTACTTTATGATGAAGAATTACTTCCCTGTCGAGATTATAACGGTTCACGTTTCACATCTTGTGAGAAAAAATATTTTATAAATAATACTGAATCTTCAGAACAGACTCATTAAATCACAGATTCTTTTTAGAACATATGTTATTATGCTACTTCATGGAGATCGTTATCTTTAATGATTACCAAAAAATAGGTTTGTACCTATTTAAGACCTAAGGCAACGACTATTAATAAAGGTCAAATTTGTTTTAACAGTTTATGAAAATATTTAACTGCAAAACACGGAAGTTTAAAAAGAACAGATGCCTATATGGATTCTTAAGTTAATATTACGACAACTCATATTAAAGATCAATTGGGAAGATCTTATACTTAAATTGCTTATAACAAATTGGGGTCCGGAATACGGTGAAAGAGTAATTCCATGAAAATATTTCTTAAACATCGATTCCTGATTTTTAAAGCCCATATACAAACACGAGTAACTTTTGGGCAGGATGACCTCATTACCAACTCCTTCCACCTGATTCCGTACAACTTCAGACCATTAGTATTGTTGACAGGCCTGTACTCATAATTGTTCTAGATTCTCTGTTTTTTACCATCTGTACAATGGTAGTGTTCTGAAGAATTACATGATTTGATATCGTCATCGCCTTTTTACAACCGCACTCCTAATCAAAGAACTGGAGTTTATATATAATATATTTGGAACACAAGACTACCATACGCGCATCATGATCATTTTTGCCTCACACATGTAGGTTGTAAAATGAGTTCCCCTCTGAAGATTTTCCCTTGTGTTACAATAAGGGCCTCTTCAAAAAATGTGTTTGCAAATATTTATAAAAACCGGCAACGCACCTCCAAATTAATTCATTCTTCTCATCAGGTGAACTGTCTATTCTTTTGCCTCTATAATAAGTTTGTTTACTTATCACGTCAAATAAATTAGATATACACATATAGAAACTCATAATAATTATTAAGTACGTTAGTAAACCAGAAGACGAATTTTTCTACATGTTGTAACATCAAAAAACAAAATATCGAAATATCGAAAAAAAAAATGTAACGAATGAAGTCTTAAAAATTCACAGCTAAATTATTAAATATAGTATATATAAAAATAATATTGAAATATAATTTTTCCTTTCTTCATTGTTGCTCTGGTTAATGACGTAAATGGTAAAATGAAAGTCGTGTGACAAATTTGATATTACATATTAGAATTTGAATGGCTTCATTTTTCCCAATAAGAAATAAGTTGACATCACCATTTCAAAGAAAGCGGTAAACAAATGCTTTTTGGTCCTGCAATTTTATTTTGTAGATTTTAAGACTTTGTGGTTTTCTTGTCTGAGGAATTTTTAAATGATACGTCTAAATGTAGTGATTACGAGCTACTATTTAAATGTCGAAGATTTAGAGTCACATTTAAATGTATTCTTATAATAGACACGATGATACCCATCAATTAACTTCAATGTTAAGAACACTAGGCTAAACCTAAGAATCCAAATAAGTGTAAAACAATCTTCAAAAAATAATAGAAGCAAATATAGATTTGGACCACTTATAATATAGATATACCCCCTTATTAATAAAAACTAAAACCTTCTACAAACCTATTTTAACTATTACACTGATTTGTCACTTTCTTTCAAATTGCGAATTTAACACAAAAGAAAGAGACAAAACAGTTCAATAGCTAAAATAGAGGTTTTTTTTTGATGGGATAAAATGGTATGGTCCGCCTGCGCTAACGGGATACGCTGGCGGAGCACCCGTGAATTCATCAGGAATTAACCATGATAGTTTCCAGGGGGAACCGCGAGGAGGTCGACCTGGTTGGGTATATTGCTAGCAATGGGATTCTCAGTCTCCATTACTAACAATCCCTTTGCCCCCGCTAAAATAGAGGTTTGACATTTTTATGAATACGGGGCTTAATATATTACAATAATAATACCAAATGGATCCTGAATTTATAGCAATCGTCATACTTTACTATGAATTTACTATGTACAGGTAAATAAATAATAGATATTTAATTAATTAATAGTCCTACTATTATAGTCGCTGTTTGTAATCTCATACAAATTCGGTGATATAACTTTTTTCTTAACAATAATTTGTGTTTATTTCAGATATATTTTTCATATATCTTTAAAAATTTGTCATATAAATAATCATACTTATAAACTAATTATTATGACAATAAACTGAGAAAGGTTCTGATTATAAAATTAATATTTTATACATGGCGTAGTTCATTAGTGGTATAGTCATGCACATGCGCCATTCGAATGCTCTCAAAAGAGATGCGATTGTGCCAGCACGCCTATACAAAGACGGACGATGAGTGTTTCAAACTCTCTATATGAACGACTATATATCATATTGTTAAAATAACGCAGCAGTACCATAGACTGTACAATGAACTATGAGATTTTCATGGCTTATTCGTGCGGTGCTAGTTACTACTTTCCATTAGGCCAGCAGCATCGAATTCTTTGAAGGTAGTTACTAGGAGTATTATTGGGATTCCGTACCTTTAACTTACCTACTGAATTCATAACAATATTGGGACGTTTTTATTAAAAACTACTGGATATACTGGGATCATAGATTTTTCATTTTTTTGCATGTGACAATTTTACCAAATTTGCGACACTACAGTACTTTACAAAGGTTCTTAATGTAATTAGTTTGTTATAATTTGATGAAATTGAATAAAAAAAATCCTTAAATTGTTTAGTATCATATACAGATTAGATACATTCAAAGATTATAATTATTATATTAAAAAAAAAAAGAATGCGATTTCTTTATGACTAAAATCTAAAATTGAAATCTGAAGCTACATGTTAAGTTTTACGTATTTTTTTAAACGTATCAGAATCCATAGAATAAAAATAACTATAATATATTTTAAATACCTACTGTTCACATAATCATAACGTAATATCAATATATTCAAGGCCGCTATTCAGGTTTAGGCAGTCGCCATAAATATAGACAATAAAATAGTTTAACTTTTAATATAATCAAGTAGGTAAATATATAAAGGGATAGGAATGCTGATCTGCGCCTACTGATCGTTATGAATGTGATTATTAGACACGAAAAGGAAGCGGCTACTCAACGTCTACTTAGAATTAATTAGCAGGAACTTCGCTTCGGTCAGTTCGTATTACCTACCAGCAACCTGGTCCAGTTTTGCACTGGTGCAAATTAGGATGTATTGTACATACAAACCTTTCAAAAAAAAATTATAAATGATAGTGAAACCCATATCAAGAAGCATAAGCGAAAAAACTAACGGATGCTAACAACCACTTTGTTTTTGACAATTCAGACACTACATATGTTCTTATGCCTATGTTGTTTTATAAATACAATGACGTATCTAAAATTACTCGTATTTTCCAGGGAGTATCTAACCCCTTAAAAAAAGCACATTATGTACTCTCTGATATCTTTGCGGCATAGTTCAAAACTGTTAGCCTCCTGAAGTGGATACCAGTCCACTGGTGTATTTAAGAGGGTGGGCACGGCCCAGCCGACCCTCCCCTTAAATACGCCTATGGTTTATATACCTAACCTAAATTATTTAATTTATGGTAATATAGTAGTATAGTCATTGTAATTGACCTGCAGTTAAGGTATATGTTACACGATATCTTCGTTAATGTTAAACTAAGTTAGATATTACTTATTGCAATCGAAAAGTTTTCCTTACATCTTAGTCCCGTATATAATTTTGTCACTATTAAAGTCACATTACTTTTTACTTATAAAATTAAGGCTTTTATCTACTACCACTTGCTACCGTCTAAAAAACTCTATGGCTTACTCTAGAGACATATCTCCCAAATTTTAAAACTATTCCTTTAACTCATAAAATACAATAATACTACACTCTACACGACACGAAAACTAATTCTTAAGGTCAGGTAAGCCCCGACCCACGCCTCCCACATATTGTTAATTCATTCACGATTAAGACGAGTTTATAAACATTACATCACCTCAGAGCCTCGTAAAGACTTGGTGTAATGGAGTATTTTTTTTTTTCGGGGAAAATATTATTTTACCCAGACCCAGGAGATCGCGTGACCTAGGTTGTAATTACCTAATCAATATGGAGGTTGTGGCGGGTTACGTCACGATTATACCACTCGCCCTTGTGTTTTTCTGCTTTTTAAATGTAAATAGGTTTTTTTTTATATTCATTACAAATTGTTCGATACCTTTCAACGTATTTGATTGATGATGATAATTTTTATCGAAGAAAATTATACAAATAGATATCTATGTTCATTTAATACGCAATCAATATTCTTCGTGCATGGTTTAAAAACATTGTTTTGTGTTTTTTATATTTGATTACACATAGACAAATATTATAAAGTCATCATCATCATCATGTAATAATCAATTGTAATCAAATATGTAACATACCTGTATCTATTCTACCATGTCCACTTTAGTAATAATTATATAATGTGATAATCATATTGTATCTTCGCTTCAGCTATAAATCTTCAGGTGGCAAGGTGTACCATAAAAATCACAAAATGCGTTGAATATCTGCAATGGCCATGACACGGCTCCTGTTTATAGGTCACCGTTACCACTTTCCATCAGATTAGGAGCCCTATCGTTTGGCGTTCCAAGTGATATAAAAAACGTTAAATTAACAATATACAGAATTCATTAATATATTTTACATTTTAAATAAAGTTATCGATGGACCGCAAATTTGTTAATATGAACTTATTTTCTCAATAATATATATTTATATTGTTTATACCTATTATGTATGTTGACATTATAAGCCTTTTTATAGAAAAATCTCAGCATCAATAATTTATTAAAAACATTTTCTCAATAATATCACAATACTTAATTTTAAAATATATATCACACTCATAGTATATATCACAGTACATAATTTAAAATACTTTCTTATTTCAGCCAAACGGCAACTCCAACAGCAACAATCGTCGAAATCTTCACGGTCACCGTCACCGCCGCCGGAGCTCGAGCCGGAGGCGTCTATCAATGACACATTTAGGCCTTTACCGAGGACACCTCCCCCGACCCGAGCCGGGCCGCCGCCTTCGCCGCCGGTGCCCACGCACCCGGTAGCCCCCGTCGCCCCTGAACCATCAGCACCGCTTCCACTACTGCCGTGCCAAGTGTGCGGACGTACCTTCGTGCCGGAGTCTCTGGCCAAACACGTCAAAATATGCGAGAAGATGACTGTAAAGAAAAGGAAGACTTTCGACTCATCCAGACAGCGCCGCGAGGGTACGTTCTCTGTTACCTCTGTTGCTGCTTACTGTTTGTATACTGGAAATATTGTCGTTAAGGTGATGGGATTTACTAATACACAAGTAATTATATTATTTTATTTGATAATTATTCTATTAAGGTGTACTGTCTTGAACCGGTTAAATTAGTATTTTATTTTGTTGTATGAGTACATACTTATTATATTGCGTGATATTCAATTTTAATATTGTATGTACTAAATTCTATTCCGTATACATTTCTTGTTGTTAAGGAATTGTTTTATTTTATAAGTATTATTTGAGCATGTAATATTAGTTTATTCATAAACATTTTGTTTTTGTGGGTAATAAGGGCTGACTCCGGATGGTGCTAATTGTGGTGAGTGGGTGGTCTCTTTGCGCTATACTTAGCATTTGTTTAGCATTTCTCTAATTAACTGTATCTCGACTTGCTCTATGTGAACTAACACTAACAAACGTCTGTGCGCAATATTAAGTATGTCAATAATGTATAAAGGTGAATTTACAAATAAAAAGTACGAAAACAAAAGCTAAAATAAATCCACCTTTACACATGAAAACTTCAATCTCTTTTAAAAAAAATAACACATCATTTATAACTGATTTAATAAATAAACTTGTCAGTTACCTGTTATAGTAGGTGTGCCACTTTGTAAGTAGCCTACAAAGACAACAGGAATAATCATTTACTTATCAGTAAATAGACAATTGCGAATACCTAGATGGGTGGCGCAACACGTAACTCGCATATAATATTTATGTAAATTGTTCATTGTGGCAAACGGTTGTGTCCCAATGTTAACTTGGACCCTATTTACATAAATTATCTGTAAGTATATTTGTATACTATTTAGCAACACCGCCCACCACAGGTCGTTTTACTGAACAACCACTAGGAACCATGTAACATGTTACTAATTAAATAATTTAAAATGCACGGCTTGTGTCTGTCACGCCCTATTATATTGTGTGACGTTTGAAATGTGTTTGTTTAATTTTGAATGTGGCTAATCATCGAATTAATTCATTTGTTATACATGACACACAATGACAGTAATCTATTTGATAAAATACATTTTCAAATACATAGTAGTGGTGTGTATGCATATTTATTATGTATTTTAAAATTGTTTCATTTTCACAGCAAATATACACAGTGCCTGATAATGCTAGATATTTTTACTATATATTTATATTACGACAAACCACCACAGTGTTCAAACATAAATATGTATAATTATATTATTCATACATTTTATTATTTAGTACGTAAACATTTTTCAATATTTACATGTCTAAGTCGTAATAATGTATGATTGTGTTCTACAAAAAAATCTATTATAGCAAAACAAGTTATTTTGATTTCTAAACTGAACTGATTTCGATAAAATTTCTATGAAACCAGTTTGTAAGTGTATCCTTTTAGATAAAAAAAAGTATTTTCGAAACTAATACGGAATGTAATTCCGTCAGTTACAAACATAAAAAATAAAGTAAATTGAAAACCTCCTCCTTTTTTAATTCGGTTGAAAATCACGACTTTACAAAAGTTTTTTCGCTAGTTTTTGAGAATTTAAATTCGTCACTTATATACATAAATCGAAATGCATAGCCCTGTTTAATTTGCCATCTATTAAAAATAAATCAATTTGTTGTAGATAAATAATAAATGAACAAAACGCTATAAATCTATATATATATATATATATATATATATATATATATATATATATATATATATATATATATTAAACAACATTTATCTCTGTAAATATGATAAAGCGTGCATTAATTAAATACTGTATAATTTACAGGTACAGACCTGGAACAGTATTTGCCAAAGAACTTTGGTCTTCCAGAAAACAGCCCGTTCCTGGAAAAGAGTCCGCCTAATACAGCCAAAGTGACGCCAAAGCCGAAATCGCAATCGGTCAGGAGCGCTATTACAAAGGTAATTTTTTTTAAATTATTTTACTTGGTAACCCTGTGCTGTTGATATACACTGGCGAGGCACCAGTGAGAGATGATAAGTAAGGATAAAGTAGGTCAATTGGTCCATCGTAATAAATATTATATTATACAACAACAAATAAATAAATCAATCAATCACGATAGTTTCTGGGGGGAACCGAGAGAAGGTCGACATGTTAGAGTATGTTGCTAGTAATGGCGTTACCAATTGCCATTACTAATAATCCCTTCTTCCCTCCAAATAAATTATGCAGGTTAGTCGCCAAAGTTATACCAGCCTAGCATTAGGTTATAACAATGTGTCAAATAGATACATAAACTTGTAATTGTGGAAGAAAACAATTTACTTCTAAAACATTCAAAATTAACTTGAGTGTGTACAAATGTTTGCGTCTTCTTTCAATAGCTATTCAGCTATTGAAGGAACGCAATTCCACTCCCTAGCATTCGCTAGGAATTGCGTTCCCCGTGTCTGTTTTTTTCCGATAAATAGATCGATGACAAGCCAATTTTAGGGCAAAAGTGAATAGGCCATAAAGTGAAACTCACAAGTCCATGAATACATGGACCTCTGAGCTTCATCTTCAATCTCTTATTACCACTTCCCATCTTTATATAAGATGAAAATAGAATGGTTACCTCGCCCACGATATCAGTGTACGAAATATGTAATGGCTGAAGGACTATCGTTCAAGTCAAATCCCAAAAAAATATCAGTATACGCTGGTGGGGTAGCAGTGAATTAACGAAGGTGATGCATTCACCAGGAACTACGATGGGATTTCCGAAGGTTTCCTGAAGGAGATCAACTTATTGTTGGCAATGTAGAAGTCAGATCTCATTACTAACATCGTATCCCTTTATTCAGGTTAATCTGGAAACGCTTTATTAGTATAAAAAGTTTGTTTATGATACATAAACGTATGCATATTATCCTCAGCCAATGGCCGAGCTGCAGAAGTGCCCGTACTGCGGTCGCGCGTTCGGGCTGCGTGCCTTTGAACGTCACGTGGAGTGGTGCGCCGACAAGGCGAAGATACTGCCCGCCGCGCCCACCGCTCCGCCACCGCACTTGGCCGACGCGAAACTACGCCTGCACGCACGCACGCAGTACAAGGCCCCGCCCGTCCGTACACGAAGGTACATTCTAAAGATTCATACGAACTGCGAAGAATTACGAATCGTCTTTACATTGCTAACAAACTTATTGAGTGGTGTGATAAACACCTGATGCAAAAGTGAGATGCACAATCGCTCCAAAACTATGCACCCTGTGAGATAATACCCCAATTCTCCTTAATTTAATTCTTAGGGCTCCTACTCTCGTATCAAATAGGGAGGACGGTACTCCCACTAATATGTGATCTCGTAAACTCCTAAAAAATACGTACCTAAGGATCTGTTTTATAAAATAAATAAAATAATTTTAACAGTTTCACATTTCAGTTTTTATATATCAAAATCTATTATTTTTAAGATAATATTAATCAATTTGACGAACCAATGGCCATCGACAACTCACCTCACGCGCTTGAACCTAAATGATCACATATGTGCCGTTTCAGAGAAATTTTCTCCCACGAACGCTTGGGCTGTGGAACGAGCTGCCTGCCGACGTTTTCCCTAGAGACTACGGTATAGGGTTCTTCAAAAAGGGTGTATTAAGGTCTCTTCAGAGTTGGCAAGGTGCACGTGACGCGCCTGAATTTGGAGACATCCATAGGCTACGTCAATGTAGTTTGCCATCAGACGAGCTGTATGCTTGTTTGCTACCTTTGTGCTATAAAAAAATAGATTTTTTTTTTTTATTTTAATTACTGAACAACTAAATATGAAATAAACATTGTATTCCAGATCATCACAGTCTCGCGATAAGGCGTCAAATAGTCGATCTGCGTCCGTGGACTCATCACGCGGTGTATCGCCACCTCGAGAATATGGTGACTACAAACCTGGGAGGACTAGAGCATCAGGTAATTATTAAAATATTCGAAATATCTTTAAATTTTAACCTATTATTATAAAAAGTCTATATATCTTGTCTTTGTTTATGTATGAAACTGAATGTTATTTTTCTAGTAAACTTAATTATAAGCATTCTTCGTTATATATAGAAAAGTCTTAAAATTCAATGGCTTTCAATCTATTCTAAGATGTCCAAGGTACTATTCATATATAAAATCGATTATTTTACTTGCTCACAATATTTATAAATGCATTAACATTGTAATTTACAAGTGCAATATATATATATATATATATATATATATATATATATATATATATATATATATATATATATATATATATATATATATATTTTCTTTCCGTCAGATGGACAATTCTTGTTTGTCATATCAAGTTATATAAAAATAGAAGTAGACTGAATTACCAATATTTATAATACAACTTCAAGTGCACACAGCATTTTAAATAAATAAACTTGTTTAACGCAACAATATCTATCGATCTGTTATATTTTGTTATAATATTATTGTAATGAATTCTGATAGCCCTATCTACATTTGCAGAATCCCTATCAAGCAATGACTGCCAGGATGATCTGTCTCCACATATTCCAGTTATAAGAAATTCACGAAATACACAAAACAATTCTTCAGGCGACGCAAACGTCAAAGCACGACAAGCCAGACTCGCAAGAGATATTAGCAACTCAAGGTAAACTATTGATTTTAAAAATACACAGTTTTATAGTTAATAGCAAATAAGGGGAAAGGAAAGAGGTAGATTTTTATATATATTTGTTTTTATTACATTTTATCTTGAATATCGTTCCTGTCTCCTTGTTTGAAATAAATGGAATCTATATAACTTTTCCTTCCTTTCCTCTATTGTAGAAAACCCCAAGAATCCCATCCACACTCTCCTGTCCAACAAAGCAAAACCGACTCAAATATAAATAAAAAGAACCTAGAATGTCGAAACAAACTAAAAAATAAGCTAAGCGTTAAGAGACTACAGCAACTAAAAAAATTGGAGGAAATTGCCAATAAATTCAATGAAAGAACAATGAATAAAAGATACAACATAAAAACCACAGATAAAAAAATTGTTAAAAGTCAAATACCTATACCTACTAAAATAATTAGAAATGAACCAATTTCAGAAACAAATAAGCAAACCAACGATAAATCTATTTTAGAACAATGTTCTAAGGAATCAAAACCGGCAAATGATATTAAAGGTAAATCATTCAAACAAGCACTAAAAGAATCAATATCAAAAGTTAATACAAAAAATATTAAAACCGCTACTGTAAAACTTAAGGAAAAGGTTAATACAACTAAAAAACCTATTAAACTTGCAAAAGAATGGAGCATAAGTTTAGACAGTCTGGAAGAATGTCAACTGTCTAATAACGAAAAAAAGTGTCATTCGATAGGAATAAACACAGAACTGCTCTGTCCATGCATCCCTTGTGTAATATATGAAAATCCAGAACAAAACAAATCAAATAAACGCAAACAAAATAACGAAACAAATGCCCTTATAAAAATAAACAATATTGTACAAGAACCAAAAATAGAACTACTATACAAAAATTTAGCAATAGGGAGTTCTAGTGATTTACAAATTAAAGTAGATTCAGAGGAAAAATTGAATTTTCAAAATAGTCAGTCACTATTAGAAAGTCCATCCATCTTAGAAAATAAAATTGATCACACTCATCTACTGTACACAGAATGTAATATGACTGATCAAATTATTGGAGCTACTTCAAGGTACTCTGAAACATTGAGAAAAGTTGACAATGATAACATTAATTCTAATGAAAATAACGCTAGAAAAATACGTGATTTTTCAACTGAACATTTTGAAAATAATTATGAACAAGACAATAGCAGTTGTGAAATGCTTGATGATTCCATTGAAAATAAATTTACCAATTATAATGATAATGAGAACAATATAGGTCGACATGGAAGTAGTGACACATATACAAAGTTCACAGAAAATCCCCATGATTTAGAAGAATTCATTAATATAACTGATACGATGATAACTAATCAAACTATAGAACAAAAACATGCTATGGAGATGGACATTGAAACTTTGATTACTCCAAAAACAAATTCTATCGAAGCAATTGACACAATTATTTTAGATGTGTCTTTAAAACAAGGCAAACGTAACTTCTGTGATACTCTCGAAGAACTTAAAGATAATTTGAATAAACTACTTGATGACTCAAATAATAATGAATTGTTGCAGCTTGATCAGAATTCAATAAAAGAGGTTAATGAGAAAAGAAAAGTTTGTGATATGGAACATATAACAGTGTATGAATTAAAATTTCAGGAACAAAAACAGATAGAAAAAGCAAATATTTTAATAGATGGTTCAGCAGCTTTTAAGTTACCGGCTATATTTGAAAACAATAAACCAGAAAGAAAATTAACGTGTAATAAGAAGAGAATGCAGAAAATATATAAACCAAAAAGAAAATATATTATGTTAGGTAATCAAAGCCGGAATAACACATTTATTGTAAATAATCATGAAGACAGTGATAATTTATCAGTGACATCAGAAGCACCACCCCTTAAATTACCTCGTATTGAATTAAAGAGGTTAGATTCCGTTATTCCCTTTAATCTTCCTTTCCTATAATATTGCAAATTGTATTAATATACTTTTTTATTTATGTGAACTGAATGAAAGTGAAGTATTCGTATTATTGTTTATAAATTATTTTTTTCAGGCTTGACGACAATTACGACCCATTTGCGTCAGCTGCTAAGCAAATGAAAGAGCTTATGTCTTCAGACACTAATATTCCGCAAAAACTTAAAAATTCTTCCAAAGACCCTAACCGAACCCTTCCTATCTTGCGTCCTACTAAAGAAAAAGCACATTCCTACCTGCGCATTACAGATAATACTAAAATGATGAAAGATACTCTTAATAAAACCTACCAAAAAACACCCACATTACAAAGAATGAAATCTTTTGGTAGCTCCAACAATGATAATACTAACAGCACAATAGGTAGTAGATGCAGTTCGTTTAGATTAAATAGAAATGACAAAAAACCTAGTCCGAAATTAAATACTACATTCACTAGATCTAGTAAGGAAAACGTCGGTACCACAGACAAAATGTATTTTAATCGTAATAGTAGTCTAAATAGGTCATTTTCGAGCTATACTACATCTAATTATAGTACACCAAAACCAAAAGATAAAATTCCAAAAATAGCAACATCAATGTATCATAGTTTCCAAAGAAATACTATAAAACAACCAGTTAAATTAGATAAAATAAAGCGACCCGAAGAGAAAACAGATTTTGTTAATCTTGATATAATCCTTACAGATGATAATTCTTCCATGACAGACAGTAATTACATTGACCCTAGACTTATCAATGAAAATGATAATTTACCCATAAATGTTAACACAATCTTAAATAATCCTGATATTATAAGTAGTATGGAATCTTTACTAACTACAGAAAATCTACCTGCTAAATTTGAATCTTTTAACACTAGTCATCAAAATAATAATGAGTGCAATGATGTTGTACAATCAAAATTTAAATTTAGAACTGAAAATAATAACATTAAAAGTACTGCCCCAACAATAGACGATTTAAGTGCTCAGTATGATAAAATTATGACATCGTTAGAACAAAGTATAGCTTCAAAAACATCCATCAGGGATGATGATTCTTTATGCGAGGACTTTGATCTTGAGGAATTCATGACCTCATTTGATGAGGAAATAAATAGACAAAAAGTTGAAAAACGAACATGCAGCTCGACAACTAGGGTAGTAAAGCAATCAGAACTGGTTGATAGTAACAGAACATCGGAATTTAATAGCATTAGTCCATCCCTTAAAGTAGTTAAAAGTAGTAGTAATGGTATGATACCAGTTAACAAGTCTATATCTCTTAATTTTAGCAGTAACAATATTGTGAGTGAGAGTCTCTTCCCATCTTCCGTAAAACGTTCCACATCCCTCCTTGATTCTATTCAGAAGAAGAACACAGCTAAAGCAGATAGTGCGAAGAATCGTAATAAAGTGGATCAACTAGAACAAGACATAATGCAATCTCTAAAAGATTTAAACAAATTTTACGAACCCGAAAGGAACGATAATAATCAGACTCACAAGGAGTCTGCTAACTACAAAACTCCAGTACATAATGGTACGACTAAACGAGATACACGCGTCAAATCTGAAAAGAAAATAAAGAAAAATGAAAATGTAACCAATGAAAACTACACGCCTAATGGTAAAACCAGTAACGACTCTGCCTATAGCAGGTTAGTCAGGTAATTCTATTTTTAAGTACGATATAGAAGGAATCCAATGCTTCGTTACTTTATATAAAAATTGTTTACATAAATATTATATAAAAATGTGTAATAAATCAAAACTTAATTATATATACATTTGCAGCCTGAATAGAATATCCCCTTCGAAGTTATCCCTATGTAATTCGAAAGAATCAAATGGTGTAACATCGCTTGAACAAATCCCTGCTGGGTCCGATTCCAGTGGCAATCACAAGGAAGATGTTCGATCTGTCTCCAGTGAAGAATTCCTCGCCATGGAACGCTCTGCTGAAATTGACGAACCCCACTCGCAGCTCGATATGCATACATCGTACAAGGAATTAGATTGTAATGCTGCTAATGGTAATAACATGTTTTATATACATTTATACTTACCTTAAAATGTACCTAAAATCTTTATGCAATTTTAATTGACTCTTAAATATTACTTACGACATTTAAGATACATTTAACATACGAATTTTTAGATGAGTAACCTATATATTTCGTTACATATACATGTGTATTGTATATGAAAATTAACAGCACGACCCATAAGTTAATTCCGGTCGATTAATCTCAATATTGAATTTCACCTAAAACTAAATTTTCCAAATTTCAGAGAAACGATCTAGTTCCCGCACATCGTGGAATCACGGCAGAAGTGGGAGCGGAGGCGGCGGCGGACAACTGAGCTCGAGCGGGTCAGAAGCGTCACTACAGCGACGCGAAGTGGCTGCGCCGCGCTTTTCGCGGTTCTGTCACGAATGCGGCAGCAAATTCCCCGTTGACACTGCCAAGTTCTGTATCGAGTGTGGTGTGAGAAGACTCCTCGTTTGAAACAACCTCGCGTGAGAACCTTCTAGTCTATGATAGAGTTGAATTAGTTATTCGTAGGTTATGAATGATAGAGATCTGTTAAAAGCCGCTGTCTAATTTTATCTCTAATGTGGCAAGCAACTGCTGAATAAGGATTTACTGATACAGTTCTGTTTATTTGTAATATTCTTATAATTTGTGTATGACGAAATATCATTGATATTGATTAAAAAAAACAGTATTACTCATATCTTAACGGGCAGAATTGTCTCCTTTACCTATGTTAGTAGAAATGCAAAAATATCTATTTTACTATATTATAAACATCAATAACAAATGAACAAAATTGTTTCATTTATGGTAAAATTCATTGCAATGCAATCTTCATGTACAATCTGCACAATTCAAATATAAAGTCTAATATATTTTTTACGATAATATAATTAGTCCTGGAACTCTTAGCATTTTCCAAAAATATAAAAAATTAAATATAGAGTATGTATGGTAGTAATGTATATGTAGATTTCTATACCTTGTTCAATTTGTAACCGTAACAATTATATTGTGTGGTTTTTGCAAACTTGATGTATTAATTATATAGTAAAAAAATCTAATCACTGGATTTATTTTTATTAAATAGTAAAAAAAAAAATACTTTTGCTATAGTATGAACAAGTGCCTGCATTTCTATTATAATTAAACCTGCACAAAGTGTCTGTCGGACGATTACATATATATAAAAAAGATTCGTCCCATATTTTATTATGCTCGCGATAAAATAATATATATATTTTTCTTTTAAATATGTTACCAAGTTACTATTGTAAACTAATTTGTGCCTTTCTTATGTAGCAAGAGCAAACTATTGTTTCTGTTGGATGTTTATTTACTAGAATTGTTGCTATTACAAGAATCGCCAAACCACTGGCCAGAGCTGTCCAAATTTATTTTAAGTATCTGTGATATATGAGAAATGTTTTATAGATCAAAATTAACTGTATTAATTTATGTAACAATTACTTTATTTTTAGCACTGCATGAATTCCAGAGTGCCAATTCATTGTTTTGGAAATGGGATTTGTCAGTTTTTTATTGACAAAAACATTTTTTTTATAGAATGTATTTATTCTTACATAACATTTTCAAGGATTTCCAGTCTCTCATCTACAATGTAGTTGGCCATTTAACAAGACTGATTTTATTTTCAAAGTTTCGAACTACGAGTAATCCTTAGTTATTGTTGTATATTGTTTTAATAAAATAACAATTTATCATGTAATAAATTAACATTTTTTTTAATAAAGTTTGTATTTTTATTTTATCCTTACCCAATAATATACAAATAATGCATGAATTATCATAAGCAGATCCATAGTTACAGATGACTTTTAGATAGGTACTTTATTCATATTCAAATAGATACTTACCATTAATACATTTGTTAATTTAATTATTATAATATGTACAAAATACAAATATATTCACATTAATTATTTATATCCAGCATTGCATATATATGCTAATATATAGGGGAACTCATGGCAAAACGGAACAACTAGATTACTTAGAAATTATTAGGGTTATCTAATGATTAGTAAGGTTAATTACTCTCGTCTTCACTCTTGGTCAATGTCGATGAACCTGCCACGTATAACAGTGAATTTTTATTGCAATAAGATTTTTTTTCATATTTTGATGTAAAAAAAAAACGCCAATTTTGATCTTACTACACTTTTTTCACATGATATCAAAAAGATAAGGACATTCTATAAAAAATCCCAAACTTGACCTATATTTTGTTGATTGTGACTAGTTTTTACTTAAATATTTTTGCCTTCAGTTTCCCTACCTTTAAAAAATATACAATTTTAGATTACAAAAATTTATTCCTTGCTTTTTAGAGAAATTTCTCAAAACTAAACTAACAATAACATCCATACACAACAATGTAAAGTTTTTATAGCCTTTTAAAATGTTAAATACATTGGAGATATTTTGTAAAATCCATTGAGTAAAATTAAAATTCAATTTATTAACATGAATAAATGAAAAAGATGCGATTAATCAACGTCATCCAATGTTGAACAGCTGCACATTCTTTATAGATTTATACATTGAAAAGTGCTGTCCTAAGCTACCTGCTTTCTGTGACTCACAGAGCCTTTGTGAGCCTGTCACTTCCTAAGGCACTTTGTCATTTGTTGAAGGTAAATAAGCAGTAATAATGATATATTTAATTATTATCTGTATAATTATTATCAATACTAAAGCCTGAACATACTCCGGTGAGCTTTTCTTGTTGGTATGACACCTTTCATTCTGAGTCTACGCAATGCTTCCCTGAGATGCTTGGGTTGTAAGGGACCAGGTTCTCCAGATTTCTCCAATACTTCTAGAGCTGTAAATAATATTAAAGTTATTAATAAAAAAACGGAAAAAAATTACTCTAATGCAAACAAATCTATGATATAATTTATTCTAGCAGATGAAAATTACATAATGATTTATATTTTATGTCAAAATAGTCTGAAACTAGTTGGGAAATATTTTATTAACTGAACAATAATGTTTATGCTCAAGATTAATGGCACTTGATGGAGTTTGGAATAGTCATTTCTAAGTTATAAAGGTGAGCTCAAATAAATTACAACTACTATTGAATATATGTGGAATATAGTTTCAAATATCATGGGGAGTTTTTTTCACATTTTAAAGCCACAATTTTTAGTATGCACCATCCAATCAAACATTCTAGAAATTATACCAACCTTCTTCAACAACTTCACCTACAAACACTTTGGCAATACCAGACATGGCAATGACAACATTCTGTCCAACAGAGCAACCGGTTATAGTTTGCATCAAGCGCTTAACAGCTGCTTTAGGAAATGCTGCTCGACGGTACATTTCATATCTGTCCAGTTGTTCTTCTGTGAAATTTGAGACTAATACTCTGAAAATTATGATTAAATGACTAATTTCATGTCTACAGTAATATAATCAATATTTGAAATATGTAATTTGATATTACTTACTGCATTTTCTCCCTTTCCTCTTCTTCCAGTTCCTTTTTACTTTTCTTCTCTCTCTCTCGTTCACTCATGAGCATCTCTTCTGTCATTTGTGACTCATAACTATTGTTTGGTGTTGGTTCACTTTGCTGAAATTCGTTAATATCTGGGATCACAATGCTGTTCTTTTGTTCTGCTGTATTTAAATTAAACCTATCTTCAACATTTTCTGTTTGAGGTTGTTCAATAAGGTGTGATGTGTCATATGTATAATCATTGATGTATGGCTCATACTGATCAGTTACATCAGTCAGTGTGTCTGGTTGTGAACTTATGAAATTATCAGGATTGTCTGTGTAGATATTGCCAAGTTCATCTGCTCGATGTACTGTTTCCACATTCTGAGAACTATCTGAATATGTTTCTACAATTTCACTTTCCACATTTGTGGTTGGAACACTTTCACCATAGTTTACCAATGTTGTATCTGAAATAGTAAAATTAAGTATTATAAAGTGTCAGCTTTTCAATAGTTTAATTTAATACATAAAATATAAAAAAGTTCAATTTATCACAAGTACAAATTTATTTAACTGACTGTACCTGTGGCTTTACATTGTATTGTGATAATAAATAGCTTATTACCTTTATCAATTCCTTCACTATCAAGAAAAGAACTATCACATGCAAAAAGAATATTTTTTAAATGTGACTTGTAGTTCCAGAGATTAGTATGTTGAAATAAACAGACTTCACATTTTGTATATTAGTATAGATAAATACTAGTAGAGGTGAAGTGATATAAATGAGAAGCTTTAATTTTTACAAAAAGGAATAAACTATTATGAACTTTTTTTACAACACAGGGGGAAAATGAGCATTTGGCTCACCTGATGGTAAGTATAATCACCCACAACACCAAAGGCATTGCAGCCGTGCAGGCCTTTTAAAAAGGAATATGCTTTTTTCTTAAACTATATTCAATGTAAGCATTATATGTATTACTTATCCTTACAGATATAATTATTGTTTGTTTTCTAATAGCACAAATTATTGTAATGTGATTATGTTCCTAATAATGAATTTATATAAAGCTACTAGCTGAGCCAGTATATAATTTAATATATAAAAATCTCATGTTACATTGTCTATTCAAACTAATTGCCAAAACTGATCAGTGGATTTTAATAAAATTTAATATGTGTGTTGTTTGCTCCAGTGTAGTTTTATACTGATAAGAAAAATTTGGGCAAGACTGTTTGCCGAGTCAGTTAAGTGTATAAAATGTAAAATATCCACTTCTATTTTTTTGACTGGGACTATAAATACTTACATTCTGGTTCATCTTTTAATAATTTTTCTTCTATTTCTAAGGATATTTCTTGAGAATCATCTTCAATGGAGTCACTGTGTTCCAATTCTTGTGCCAATTCTTCTTCTGTAACACAGTATAATCACATGTTTCTATTGTGTAAAGAAAGTACCCGCTTATAAATTGGCTGAATTCCAACTTTGAATGTATGGGAAAGAATTATACTTTTAGAACAAAAGCTAGGAACTCAGCAAAAGCTACCTACCTCTCAATCGTTCTGCCTCGGAAAGGCCATCGCTACTCGGAATATCCATATTTTTGTATTATTAAACAAACAGTGTTATTGTGGAAATACACATAAGATTATAAAAAAAATATCTCAATAACTAAAAAAGCATATTTTGAAGCAAACATTCTACAGGAGAATATAATTAGAGCATTTCAAATGTCCTGTACTGTCACTGTCACTGTCAGATATCAAAACAAATGTTCAATTTACAAACAAGACATTTGATAATATTTATCTATTGAAAGTTCTAGATATTTCTAGAGAATAAATTTTTCTAAAGTTATTTCTTAATCTGATAGATCGTCATAAACAAAAACCGAAAAAAAATCAACTTAAATATATTACAAAATTATTTCATAATGGTCAATATATTATAATAAATATTTCGATGTATTACAAAATTGAAATTTTAATTTTAGATACAGGTTCATAGTAAACGAACTCTTGACAGTAACGTACAGAGTAGGTTAGAGTCAATTATAACGAACTTTGTAGACGGTCACTTGCTTTTTATAAATTAATTATTTACTTAGTTTTCTATTCATATATATAAATTCTACACAAAATTATATATATTATATATAAATATGTAAAAATGTAATCTATCTATTACATACACACCTTACATCTAGGTACTATAAATTTCAAAAACAAGTCCTTAAAAAATTATTTAAAGAATTTCTTTGAGATTATTGCCAACTGGTAGGGTACTTAGGAGACTTGCTGTATTCTCACGCTGAATAGCTATGAAAATGCTTTGACCAAAGTATAGGCCAGTCTTTCGGCCACCAGAGGATTCCACGAGCCGGCATGAAATATCTTTTTTTGATGGATGATAATGGAATGGTAACCCCGCCTACGCTATTGGCATACTCCGGCGGGGCACCAGTGAGGAATGATAAGTGAGGGTGAAAAAGGTCAGTTAGTCTACCGTGACGAATCTAACAATAAATCAATCACGATGGTTTCCAGGGGGAACCACGAGAAGGTCGACCTGACAGGATGTATTGCTAGCAATGGGGCTACTTATCCTTGTTACTAACAATTCCTTCTCCTCCCGGCATGAAATATCTATGAAAAGACTCATGGTCTCAGAGCCCCACGGATCCAGAGTCTGAACTCCAAACGCTACAAATATATATTAATTTCCAAGGGATAATTATTTACAGCGCTTGATAGTCTCCTGGTGTGTTGCGGCGGGACCAGCCCTCTTGGATGTACTCCAAAGATAAGACGACGCCACCGTGTTGATGCAGGTGAAGTCCCATACAAGCGGACGCTCCATCCTCCAAGGTGCCAAGGACATTCCGTCAGATCTTTTGCCGTCATCAGGTATCAAACCAGGAGGTTTTAAAATGGATTTTGGGATTTACGGGCGAAGGTACGTTGGGACAAGCCAGAGACCAAGATTTATCAGCCTCAGGCAGGTTAGCTATCTCGAAATCATCGAAAAAATGTATTAGTATTTTTTACAAGGTTCTTCTACGTACCGTGCGCTGATGACAGAAAAGCTGGTAGAGAGATATGGGAGATTTGGCGGATTCCCAGGCCCCCATACCTGACAAGTAAAGAGGCCTGAGTTCATATGCGGTCTCCAAAGACGATATTAAAGAGGGAGCTCAGAATGCACTTTATTTTCTCATCCAATTTTGCGGTGAGATCTGAATATTTCCAAACGGGTGTACTACGGAAAACGTAAGTAAAGTTGTATACAAAAAGGTAGTAACGAATAATGTTATACGCTTATTTAAATTAAATAAGTCTAATTTAAATTTTACAACAGTCCGATTTTGATATTATTTTAATGTCAAAACCGTAAATAGAATTAGTATAGGTAATAAATTCTTACTAAGAAAACGTTGCACTTTACTTTTGTTAATTTAAGTTTTTTAATTATATATATAAATTTAATTTAAAAAGGTAATGTATGATGGAAATGTTGATTAAGGATATTAGCAGTGCTATAAACTGTGATTGATAGATTGACAGTTAAGTATATTGTTTTATGATTGACAGCATCGAGCGAATGCGAAACGAAAACGAATCGTTTCGTCTTGTGGTTAAGTGAATGTAAATTTCTATATAATTTAAAATTTTGTACTCCCGGTGCGGACAGAGAGTTCCATCATGAGTGCATTAATTAAGTCCTCATTATCTAGAAGCCCAGTATCATTGGTATGTTAGTTAAATAAAATCTTTGTATTGACTTTTGTTATGTAATACTAATATGTTTTGATGAATTCTTAATTATTTTCGCATCAGTATATTTGGTTATTATCCATCTAGTTCACAAATCAAAGCTATAACTTGCCGTTTTCTCTATTCATAATATTAAAATACTTTTACACTTGACACATATTCAATATGTTAAAGTATCATATTTATCACTCGCTGATAAATTACGAAATCTCAAAAAATACTTATCTTACGAAGTAAAGAATTATCGTCTATATTCCATAAAATGTTTAATGGATATATTTCCATAAAGAAAGTATATCTACAAATTCCCAGAACGACCAGATACGCCGGTGAAGTAACTAATTTACAGATATATAAAAATAACATGTAAAATCATAATCTACAAAACCAAAAGTGTACAAAATTTATTTTTGTACAATAGTTACTTATGGGAACTAACGAGAAAAGTAATTTTAATATTTCCATGAAGAGTGTAAAAAAGTGTTTAACTCATGAAAAATTCTACTTAATTCTTTTTTTTAATTTGACTTGATAATGTTTCAGGCTACATACTTGTACAGAAACCTCCACTTGTCCACTGGCGGAGCTAGTTCTCTAAAAGAGGGTTCAGCAAACACCAATACAACAAAAGCATATACAGTTATTGACCACAAGCATGATGCCTTAGTTATTGGGGCTGGTGGGGCTGGTCTTCGGGCTGCTTTTGGTCTTGTGCAGGAGGGTTTCAAAACTGCTGTTGTTACAAAACTATTTCCAACAAGATCACATACAGTGGCAGCTCAGGGTGGCATCAATGCAGCTCTAGGTATTTTTTAATCATAAATATTTAAAAAAGAAATATATATATAATATAAAAGTGGAATGATACAGATACAAGCATCAGCTTAGACTGACTTATAGCAGTCAGATAACTTGTGACTTATTTGATGAAGGAATCGAGAGTCTCTGAAACAGACATAAAGAAATATATGTAACATATCTTTAGCATTTAATTCCCTCTGTCTACCCTGCAAAGGATTTGTCATAATGATAGTTAAATTGATTAAAATAATTTATTTATATAATAAAAGTTGAATTTCTTTGTAGGTAACATGGAAGAAGACAGCTGGCTGTGGCACATGTATGATACAGTAAAGGGTTCTGATTGGTTAGGAGATCAGGTAGTAAAAATGCTCTTAAATGATTTTCTTATATATATCTTAAGAGACAAAACAAAAAAAAATTGCCAACTATACAAATATAAAATAATTTTATGGATTATTACAATAAAGTACAAAAGAAATTAACCTTAGATAATCTATGGAAAAAAATACATAAGTTTGAAAAACATATTTATATAAAATTGTCTATTGTAAAGCTTAATAATATTACTGGAATTCTAAATATGTGCTATGCTATATTCTAAAAAGTTGCTTTTGAAGTCACTTGTAAGTTACAAAATACTTATTAAAATAAATAATTAATTATAGATATAATTAGGTATGAAAATATCAACAAAAATTGGTGCATACCTACATTTGTTTTACTAATATGTAAATAGCCAAAATTACAGAATAAAAATGGCAAAAATCACTAATTAAAAATTACTATATTCTGACATTTAAGCAAAGTGCAGATGACAGATCATAAAATATACACTGCGATATAACTTATGAATTAAATATTTGATCATGAACAAGTATTCATTGTTATTTTGAGTGGACCTTGACAACTTAGCTCAATTCAATTCTTTTACTATAAAAATTGCCACTTTTAAGCTGTCACTTGCACTATGTTGCAATGAGCCAAGAATATGAATTTATATTACAATAATTTCTTGATGAAATTGTGAAATAACTTATTCTTCTTTTTAATATAATAATTATATTTCTTATTCTTATATTGCCTTAGGATGCCATTCATTACATGACCAAAGAAGCTCCACATGCTGTTATTGAACTGGAAAACTATGGCATGCCATTCTCTAGGACACCTGAAGGGAAAATATATCAGAGAGCCTTTGGTGGTCAGTCACTGAAGTTTGGTAAAGGGGGCCAAGCTCATAGATGCTGTGCAGTCGCTGATAGGTTTGTTACAATTTTTAAATAGAATATACTTTTTTTATTGTACTTGATAGATTAATGCATCAAAATATATACACTTAAATTTAAACATGTATGAATGCAATGAGACTGTCTTAATTTTGTAATTATTTTGTAATATGGAAAAATGAAGTATTACTCCTATCTGTAACAGTAGTTAGTGTTTCTGTTTACCCCATATGGTATTACAATCCAAAATACATATGTGCATGTATTAAGTGATTTCCATGATGTTTTTCATGTCTGTAGGACCTATATTACCTATAGTACGGGTGATAGTTATCACTTTCCATCAAGTGGGCCATTTAATTTGTTTATAAGAATATAAATATTTTTCATAAATTCACGAATATTATTCAACTTGTAGTTACTTAATTGTAATTATTTACTATTTCATTTCTGGATTATTATCTTTATGGATTCTTATCTCTTTAATATTGTTACATAATTATAATATACATACTACTGTATAGACTCAACACAATTTAAGAAAGTTAATATTATATTATGTATTAAATTTTGAGTTTAATTTATATAAAAAAAATAAACACACATCTAACCATAAAATAAGGTATGTAGGTGGAGATGCATGAGAAATAATATTTTGTTTTTTGTTAGAACTGGTCACTCCCTACTCCATACCCTATATGGGCAATCATTAAGATACGACTGTGAATACTTCATTGAATATTTTGCCTTGGACTTGCTTATGGAAGATGGTGTCTGCAAAGGATGCATTGCTATCAATCTCGAAGATGGAACATTACACAGGTAAAATTGTCCTTTTTAAAATGAGATAGGTTCAAAAGATATATATTATATATGGTACTTTATATTATTAATCTTATACAGAAAATCACAACTGATTATGTGAAGTATAAACACAAATGTACAATAAATCACAATGTTCTCACATAACACTCCAGTATTTTACAGTAGATATATTTATATCAACTGATAGAAGATAAACAGAAAGTGGATATGTTGTTATCTAACGCTTTTCTGTATGGTACACATTTGTAATTTAAACATACCATACATTTTAATTTTTTCTCTTATCCTATGAGTTCACCCATAATATTATTTTGAGACAGTTCTGTCGAACAACATTGACTACAGTTCTGGATCTCAAAATCGAATCTCAACCTAAACCTCTATTTTTCAAATTCATATTTAAATAACGAAAAGACATTTTCAAATTGAAAATGTATTAAACAGTGGAATCGGTCAGGTATTTATTATAATAATTTCTTTTCTAATAATATAAAAAAGTATATTGTCACTTGCTTCGCGGTCGTGCCGTGCTTGAACCGTTGTCCATTTATCAGATTAACGATATCTCACAGATACCGAGACTCGCATAGATGATCTAGAAATTTGACATTAGACGATGCCTCACTGTTATTTCACTAGAAATAAGAATAATTTTAATCAAATAAACTTAATTATAAGCATTTTTGAATAGTATTTTTTATGATACTTTCGCCACTTCAGAATGCAATTTCAGCTGTGAGGAACGGGCAGGACTCAACTGTTTCTTTTTTTAAACAATAGTAGATACACTCACTAGTATTACGAGAGTTTATGTTTCACTATTATATTATCGCAGATTCCAAGCTATGAACACGATCTTGGCAACGGGCGGCACAGGCCGATCGTACTTCAGCTGCACGTCAGCCCACACGTGTACCGGCGATGGCACTGCCATGGCGGCGCGCGCCGGCCTCCAGAACGAAGACATGGAGTTCGTGCAATTCCACCCTACAGGTACGCCGGCGTATCTAATCAATTATATGGATTTAGATATAATATGTAATAAAATATGACTAAACTCTTTTTTATATCAGCTATTAGAACCCTAATGGCATTAATTCTACTAGCATTTGTTTATTTTTTAAGTTATATACTTCTACTACTGATACTGATATGGATTCCTAAAATGGTTGCACAATGCCTATGGATATAACATTTCTGATAATTTTTCATGGTAAATCAGTTTATTCGCGATAAAAAAGGTAGTTAAGATCGTAAATGAACATTGAACAAAGTTCATGTTTATTATATCTGCAAATATTATATTATGCTTATAGAATTATACATCAATTTTATTTTACTGCTTTGGGACTTAATGATTCACTACTTATCGGTGTTTAGATATAGCAGGTGTATAATTGCTAAACAAACGAGCAACTATAGTAAGTTGATGCTGCATATGATTACAAATTTGCACGATAGAGTAATAAATTAAATATGGCAATAGAGGGTCTGGGTGCTGTGAATCAAGCTCTTTATGCCATGAAGCTTGGCAATTACCAAGTGATGCCTGTGTTGTTGCAAATGTTTACAAGCTGTCTTGGCCACGAAGCCAAACTTATTTATATAAAAAAAGAAAAAACTATGAAAACACTCGTATTTTGTAATCCATTTATCTTGCGATTATGACTTTAACGACTTTTAACCTACAGCGACACCTACATTCAACGTGCTATCAATAATTGATTTTTTTACATCACAACTAGCTGTTTTACATGCGACTTTGCCCATAGCCATTAGTTTCTGATTATATTTTTGAAAAACTTTTTTATTGTTTACTAGCATTATTTAAGGAAATCATTGTACAAAATTGAATAATAATAAATAGGAAAATGATGTTAAGAATTATTATACAAAATATTCTTATTCTAAATCGAGGAGACTTGTTCCTTGATTTAGAAATATGATACTTTGTATTGATCAATCAGTGTCTGACTGTCCAATTTACCATTTATATTGTACGTAACAATATACATTGGAAAAGTGAACTTCATCTAAATCTATTAATAATATCAATTATGAAATTTATATATTATTTAATTGTAATGATATCACAAACAGATTGCTCGTCTGCATTGATTACGATTTTATTACAGTATATATTTGGTTTTTTTTTTTGATGGGTAAAATGGTATACAACCCGCCTGCGAAATATTAAAAATGTTAAAATATTGTCGCTGGCGGAGCACCAGTGAAGGGTGATAGATGAGAATGAAAACAGGCATTTATTGCCCATTTTGATAAATTCATCAAATTAACCATGATAGTTTCTAAATTTCGCGAATTTCATTTCGACCTGGTTGGGCATATTGATCCGCAATAGGATTCTCAGTCTCCATTACTAACAATCCCTTATTATAGTATATATTTGGTTAGGTTTTTTTTTCTAGATAAGGATATGTATCTTTACAAATATTTTCTTATCTATTTATTATCACGTCGGCTCTCTTACAACTTAGTGAGCAGAAAAAAACAGACCAAAAATCTCAGTCCTTTCTCATTTATAACTTGTATCTCGTATTTTCATCTGTCTCATACCTTCATCTTACCGCTTAGAATAGCTGTGGTGAGTTTAGTTGAACAACACTTGACTGAGGTCTATTGGTCCCAACCTCATTCTCAGTCATTGCCTCTGAATTTTCCAAATTCATACTTGGATCCTTTTATTAATGACTAGCTGTATACCACGGCTTTACCTGCGTAAATAAGTATATAAAGTATCTTGTGTTAAGCCTATCTTAATAATATAACCTACCTGTGCATAATTTTAATCAAATCCGTTAGTAGTTTTTGCATAAAAGATTAACAAATATCTATTCTTCCATCCATCGTTACAAACTTTCACAGTTATAATATTAATAAAATTGTCACTTTTCCCCACATCAGAGGGCACGTAAAGTTGTCTTCTAGTAAAGTATTTAAGAGGGGTGTAATGAATCATGTCTACACTAGCCTGTCTGGTGCCAACCTCAGGATACGAGCCTAGCTTCAGAAAGACATGTCTGAGCGTATGCGTGATATGCACTTTTTTTAAATAATCTAATTTTAAATTCTCTTGACATCATAGTAGTACACATTGTAGAAGCTTGTTTTTTGCACCCCTTTAGGTATATACGGTGCCGGCTGTCTCATGACGGAGGGTTGCCGTGGTGAGGGTGGTTTCCTGGTGAACGCCAAGGGCGAAAGATTCATGGAACGGTATGCCCCTGTCGCAAAGGACTTGGCCAGCCGAGACGTTGTCTCGAGGGCCATGACTGTCGAGATTATGGAAGGTAAGTCAGCAATCTTAAATATTATTATAATAATTAACATAAGCCATTGGGAAATCATTAACATAAGACATTGAATGTGTGCCTCGGCATAGAATGGGCCACCCCTTCCTTTCCCGAGGGTGTTGCAAGAGACTTCTAAGGGAGGTCGAGGGATGGACACCAGCTAAAAGCCTAACTGCGGTTGTCAACTCGCCTGCCAAGCGTGATAACTACTGGCGTGGCAAACCTCCCATTATGGAAAAGGCCTACGTCCAGCAGTGGACAGTTAACGGCTGAAATAAACATAATAATAATAATTGGAAAATCAAAATGTTTATAAAATAGTAGTGGGCTGATTGTGGGTTATGATGATCAGCTGATTAGCAGGTAAATTGCTTAAAAAATTACCACATGAAGGGTTCAAAAACTCAAAATTCATAAAACCGATAAGTTCACCATTTTCTTAAGAAATCTGTGTCGTATAATTTAAAATTTTACTGTATAATAAAGCATACACAAACGTACAAATAAAACTGAATATTATTCTGCATGAAACCTTGTCTATGAATTGATAGTTCAGTGAAAGTATTATTTTAAAACTCACTTTAGTTAGACATAGAGAATATCCCTTCGGAATTGATTAAACTATTGAATTATAGAAATAATTATTAATAATTTAAATAAAATAGATGAATTGCTAATTATTAATTGTAATAACATCGCACATTTATATTTATATATAATACAAACATACTTTGTTAAATAAATAAATAAATATCTTAAATATAAATAAATATCATATCTTAAATATTTGTTAATTAAGTAGTCATATTACTATTTGAAAACTGAAATATGATATAGACTTAAACAATCGCAACACATATATTTTATTAAAAAAACATAAGTGGTTCTTATTTATGTTTTTTTAATAAAATATATTTCTTTATAAACATCTATACTGACGCTTTTTGATGAATTAAATTGAATTATAACTCCGCATGCAATATTGGTATAAGTAAGAAATGATAGATGAACACAAAACTATTTGGCACTTCACATTCACTACAAAATAATTACGATACTGTACAGAGGAACCGCATAAAATTCGACCTAACATCTCTAGTAATAGGACTCCTATTCGCATTCCTACTTCCCAATATTCCCTCTCCAATCTCCCCCTCCCGAGGTACTGTAAGTACTGTGATTAACTCGCCCAAAATTCCAAATTGACCATTTAAGCCACGAAGCGCTACTAGTGTAGATTTATCTGTGCTATACTATGCTACACTAGTGGAAATGGGAATTGAACTCATGACCTCGCAGATACGGGTCCGATGCTCTCATCGGTACCGTAATTTGCGGATGTTAGTTGCTAACTGATTATAGTTAATTTTAACATTATAAACAATTGTTAACACCCAGATAAATCTAAAAATAATTTGCAAGGGTCATATTATTCTAAATTATCGGCAAATTAAGTAGCAATTTAAATGTTAATTAATTTATTATATTTCTCTTTGAGAATATTTATCTGGCATATGCTTTGAGAAATATAATCATCATCATCATCATTATATCAGCCGATAACTGTCCACTGCTGAACATAGGCCTCCCCCATAAGGTAGGTTTTACCAATAGTTGCCATGCTTGGCAGGTGGAATGACAACTGCAGTTTGGCTTTGATGATTTTTTAAGAAAAACCCTGCTGGCCATCCCTCGACTATTAAGTTCCCTTAGTCGCCTCTTACGGCACCTACGGGAAAGAAAATGGTGGCCCATTCTATGTCGAAACCATATGAAGGATTGTCAAACTGTTTATGAATCGATGATTTGAATTGAATAAGATAACTGCTAAATCGTATTACGATAATCTATTTGTATATGTTCAAAAATTAATTTCAAGTTGGGTTTATTCTGCATAACACCAATTTTAACTCACGTTCTTAAGTAAAAGTTATTCAGTTTAATTTATATTATTACTGTTATACCAATTTAATCCAAAAATAAAGTCTTCTTCTGGTCTGATGTTGTTTTTAAATTATCATATTTATATGTCTACTTATTGTACAGTCAGGTTTACTTGATCAAACAAATTCTTTATTTGCAAAAATTTCAAGTTATTATGATGACACAATATTAATTCTCATAGAAGTTCTGTATTTATAATAATGATCTTGATGTTCAGGCCGCGGATGTGGTCCCGAGAAGGATCACGTGCACCTGCAGCTCCACCATCTACCACCTGATCAGCTGAAACAACGCTTACCTGGTATCTCGGAAACGGCTATGATCTTCGCTGGCGTTGACGTTACCAAAGAACCTATTCCCGTCTTGCCCACAGTACATTACAACATGGGAGGCACTCCCACTAACTTCCGCGGTGAGGTAAAGACACTTCAAAGATTTTTTTTTTTATTTGTAGTTACCATACATTTGTCATCTCAGAAATGTCTCATGTGAAATTGATTTTAATTTAATGCGCTGAAGAGGGATTTTTGTCCGCGGATAAAATTTTCTTCTGTTTGATTTTTCTGAACAGATTTTAAAATCCGAGGGACAATAGACGCTGTTTCTTTAAACTTATCTTTAAAATGAAAATGTCATGTTGATATCAGAACAAAATCTTTATTGTAAAAACCAATTTGAACTGAACCAATATAATTTACTTATATAGATATTAGTCAAAATTATTATAATTTTAGTTTATAATGTGATCAATAATACAGTAATTTCACGTAATTATCGAATTAAAATATTAAATTAAGAGATAGATTTAGAGAAATGCCTCAGAATCGGCGCTTTTGGTGCACAGATTATATATCACTTATAATAAGACATTTAAAATTAAATGCTCTAATACACACGTCTTGTGCAGTACATAGCCTATATTCAAATGTTGATTGCGAATTTTGTTCGTAAATATTATAACCTGCCTTAGAGGGACTAGGATAATTGCGGTGATCCTAAATATAGTTCTAAATATAAAGAAATTTTTTTCATATTTGAATTGTCTGATCATTTGTCTTAAGCTTATCACGTAAATTCTACTTTTCTGATACCGAACGATACATCAGTTGCTATGTTTGTTAATTCGTATCATCTCTTTGACAAACAATATTTTTCTTAACATGAAATAGCAAACTAATAGAAAATGGTAACAGGCACCTATAGACAACGATATACTGTGTGTAACTCTCAACATTTGTACATTGAGATGCCCATAGTACCACTTATGCGTTGCCATTTCTGAGTTCTAAAATGTGTTACTACTGCCTCTATATCTTTTAATTTATAACTTTAAAGGTCATACAACACCATAACGGCTCGGATCGCGTAGTGCGGGGACTTTTCGCGGCCGGCGAGGCGTCCTGCGCCTCGGTGCATGGCGCCAACCGACTCGGCGCGAACTCACTCCTCGACATTGTGGTCTTCGGCCGCGCATGCGCACAAACTATCGCCGAAGTCAACCGGCCCGGCGATGCGCAAGCGCCGCTTAAAGACGTAAGTTATTTCGTTATTACAGTACCTATCGATCGTGTTGTTTTACTTTGTACATACTTTACATTATTTACTAGTCAAAATGAAAAATAAATTTGACAGCCACCTTCTTCAGACAATGTCTTCATACAGAATAAAAAGTATTTATAACTTTATAATATTGTTTATGTAATTCTTTACTTTTATTAAATTTCATTATTATTAAGTAAAATATAATATGGCGGCCATTAATTTAGGATTTTGCTACATAATAACATTCAATTGTTACTGGTATGGTATTTCATTACTCGTTAATACAGTAAAGAAATTTTTTTACAGTCCACAGGCGAAGCAAGTATTGCCAACTTGGACAAAATTAGATACGCGAATGGTGCCATTCCGACGGCAGACCTGCGTCTGCGCATGCAAAAATGCATGCAAAAGAACGCAGCTGTGTTCAGACAGCAAAATACACTTGAAGAAGGTAACATTGATTTTTAATAAGTTTTTTTTTTTTTTTTATACCACTGTGGTGGCAAACAAGCATACGGCCCACCTGATGGTAAGCGGTTACCGTAGCCTATGAACGCCTGCAATACCAGAGGTATTACGCGCGCGTTGCCGACCCTGAAGAAACCTCTTTACCCCCTTTTGAAGAACCCCATGCTGTAGTCTCTCGGGAAAACCTCGGCAAGCTCATTCCATAACCTGAGTGTTCGTGGGAGAAAGCATCTCTGAAACCGCGTTGTACGCGACCATTTAGGCTGTAAGGTATGAGGGTGAACTCCCTGTCGATGGCGAGCCGTACGATGATAGAAAGTGGCCGTAGGCATCATATCGAACAGTTCCTCTGAGCACAATCCGTTGTATAAGCGGTAGAACACGCAGAGTGAGGCAAAATCTCTCCTAAGACTTAAGGGTTCAATACCGCTTGCAAGCATGGGATCATCGACAATTCTCATAGCTCGCCGTTGCACTGAGTCGAAGGGTTCAAGCTGGTATCTAGGTGCTCCCGCCCATAAGTGACAGCAATACTCCATATGGGGCCGGATTTGCGATTTGTAAAGCATTACTATTAACATTTACTATTCTTAGAAATATCTCATGATTTGTATAAAAAACTCAAAATTAATTTCATACAAACTGTATTTCATAATACAAACAATACACCTCTTCAATTTATAGGCTAGACTGATCAGTAACAACGGTTTGGATAAATAATTGCACATATGAACTATAGAAAAAAACAGCTGCATCTAAAAGATTTGTCCACACAAATTGGGAATTAAAGTATTATGTTAATTAACTAATTGCTAATTTGGTAACTTACTAATTGCTTATTGATGTAAACATGACAATCATATCCCAATAATTATTAAGTATTAAAAAAAATCGATGTTGGCGAGACTTGAACCTACACCTTCTAGGCAATTCTGGGGCCAGTGTTTTTACTTCGAAAATTTTCAATTAATAATAAATAAAGTATGATTTTCATATTTTAGTAATATTTCTACTTATATCAATTCGTAATCAATAGATTGCCTAATATCTAATAATAAATAAAAAAGGTTTAACATTTCCGAATACATTATCGCCACACACGTTACTAATTAAAGGCTGGCTAGTGTAGTTTGAGCGATAGTGTAAACTGTCGCCGATAGATGACGTTCAACCATCTCCGTGTAGACACCAAGCATAGTGATTGTTAATTTTGAACGGATGACCAGTAAAGCCACTGAACTCTTGTCTCCACTGAGTTCTCGTCTCCACTGAGTTCTCGTCTCCACTGAATCCTCGTCTCCACTGGGTTCTTAAAGATTCTTACGGGTATAAATTCCACCCATTTCGAAATTTTTCAATCTCTTAATAATTATTGACATGTTTTTAATATTTTAATAATATTTCTACCCAGAATATTGTTATGGTTAAACCATTCAAGTTTTAAATTACGTATGATTAAGTAATAAGCTTTTGAACTGTTCCAATCATGTTCCTTGAAAAAACTTGTTTATTTTCGTAAATACTGTAATCGGGTTGTGGTTATATATTAAAATTAACACTTATTCTATGTATTATATTTAATTATTTATATAAAAATAGTATGATGCAAGCTCTGCTTAGTTTAAAGTTAGGTGGTACTGTATGATATGTCTAAGGGTATTTATTATTTACAATAACAGGTCAGCGTCAAATCCACGAAATCTACAACCAGATCAAAGACGTCAAAGTATCAGACCACTCGCTGATCTGGAACAGTGACTTGGTGGAGACTCTGGAACTACAGAATTTGCTCATCAACTCGGTACAAATCGTGGAGGGTGCGTTGGCGCGCGAGGAGTCGCGCGGTGCTCATGCTAGAGAGGACTTCAAAACCCGACGAGATGAATACGATTATTCCAAGCCTTTAGAAGGACAGGTCAGTACAATCATGGCACATAACATATTATATATTTTTTATCCTATCGCACATGGGTAAAGCTATGATATATAGCCATATTTGGATCTTTATGACTCTTTCACGTAAAAACTACTCATTTAATTTAAATGAAATTTGCCACATGGTCAGGGTAACTTATATGTTAATATATCCTAATTTCGAAAATAAGTAATTTTATGATGACTAATTCACGCGGGCGAAGCCGCAGGAATAAACTACTAGGTAAGGTATATTACTAAGTGCACCTTTTCAACAATATTCTTATTTAGTTCATAAATTATTCAAATAAATTTAAATTCAAATAAATATATAAAGAAATGCTTTTCGAGCATTTACATACATTGTATCATACAAAACATACAATTTGATACTATTAGGTATTGTGATGCACAGCGTCATAGCTAGTGACTAAGATAAATTATTACATCCAAAGCATTAATTTGAAATTTCCACCTATTTGATAATTTCTATTACTTTGTCAACATTCTTATCCATATAAGCGGTAAATATAACGACCCACTTTCACTGCTTTACTTGTTATAATTTTGTGATAATAGTATTAAATGGAAAAACTAATAATTTATTTTGTATATGTATATATTTTATTGCAGACCTGTAAATTATCTAGTGGAAATATAGTTGATCTCTTAACCTTGTGATAAACTAGTATTGCGTGCTATTAAAATTTAATTCGATTTGCTTGTGTTTCTATGTTCCAAATAAATATAATGTATATAAAAGAAAAAGTTCTAATACCTACGTTGATTGTAATCTAATATATATTTTTAATATATAAAAAATACCGTACCTTAATATATAATATATAATGAAAACCGTATGTCAGTCGAAATGTCGGAAGCTTACAAAAATAAAATCATAGTAAATGTCTCGTTTTAAATGTAAACAATTTTGTCACTGTCATTACCATAACGACAAGGGTTCATGTCCTAGTGCTGAGATAGGGTTTTCTTATTAGTAGAGGATCTTACTATTTTCACGTTCATGGGTGGCTTGATACTTCATCTTTTCAAATTGATTTAGTTTAATTATCTCCCAAAAAAAAAAAAAAAAAAAAAACATAAAAACAACAATTTTCCAGGTTTACTCTAGTTTTAGTCTATTATTTAATCACTAGTATGACTCAATCAGTTTTTTCTTCAAAAACAAAATAGTATGTCACATGTGTAACTGTATATTTGATCTAACTAAAAGGTGTCAAAAATCCATCTATAAAAAGGTTCGCTGGCCAAAATGCCTGATTAATGTTATGATTATTGAAATCAGTTTCTTTTAATCGTACAAATATTATAAACATGAACGTTTGTAGAAATGTTTATATGTTTGTTATTCAATCGTGCTTAAACAGTTGAACGGCTTTGAATGATATTTGATACACTGATAGGTCATATTCTAACTTAACAAACAGTAATCTATATCGATTCGCGCAGGTAAAGCTGCGGGAAACAGCTAGTCTTATCTAGTTAGATAACCTACTTGTAGTTTGTTTACACATGTTGCCATTTACAAACTATTGTTAGGAAATTATATTACAATAACAATGACCTGACATAGAATTTATGTGATTACGCTAATTATTATTACCTTCCCTGATAATTAATGGAAGCTGAAATAAAGGTCAACACGTAGAGTTATTTTTGACATTTTAAAATTCTTATCGTGTTTTATGTAAAATCTGAAATCTGCTATAAACTACTTACCTAATGTTCTTATCTCCAAAATATTGTAAATCGCGGCTAAGATACACCACTGCAAAAAAAAGGACAATTCGAAATAAAATTCAATCCTATACTAAGCCACTGGCGGCTTAGTATATGCATTCTCTTATAGAAGAAACTAAATTCATCAGGAATTAACCATGATGATTATCAAGGGCTTTTTTTTAATGGATGATACTAGAATGGTAAACCCGCCTTCACTAACGGTGCACTGGCAGGGCACCAGTGAGGGATGATAAGTAAGAATCAAAAGGCAGATCAGTTAGCCTATCGTGATGAATACGCCTGGAATTCAGCACGATGGTTTCCACGGGGGCCACGTGGAGGTCGACCTGACAAGGTATATTGCTAGCAATGGTACTGGTGGTCCACATTGCTAACCATCCCTGCCCCTTGGTTTTTAAAGGGTGCCACGTAGAAACCAACTTAACGGGGTATATTTTTATGAGTGATAATGAGATCAAACACCATTGATTGGTATACGCTGGCGGGACACTGATGAGAGATAATATATGTGATGCAGTAGGCGATGATGAAAACAGGTTAATTTTTTTATGTTACCAAAGCGGCAAACAAGCCAACAACCAGTTTAATGGTAAACTGTAACTGTAACTTATATACGCCTACAAAACCGAGGATCAATTGGATGCGCAAGGGATGCGTTGTTAATTATTGTTATTGTAAATAATTCATTATCCTTGTAACAATAAATCACTTTACATATTATTTCTTATTTGCATACTCGTTAATATTAGGTACTGTCTTATTCTCCTTCTAAGGATTCTTAACTCTTGTTCTTATGCTATTATTTAATTGTAGACAAAGCTGCCATTCGAGAAACACTGGAGGAAACACACACTGGCTGAGACGAATGTAGAAACCGGCGAAACTAAGCTCTCGTACCGACCCGTGATAGATAACACCCTCGACCAACAGGAATGTAAAACGGTACCACCGGTCATAAGGACATACTAGACATCAAAATATGTAAGTATCTGCCACATTTTGACTGCAGCTTCATTATTTGTATTGAATTTGTTCTTTATTGACTTTGAATTTTACTGATTTAATAATAATGTTTACAGTAATTTACTCTTAATGCCATTGCAATGTCTATTGATTAATAAATCCGAGATCGACAGACATTGCATTGGGTTATGTATATATGTTATTTCTTATTCAATGTCAAAATTGACAATCTCAATCTCATACAAAATTTACTAAACTCTAATTGGCGACCGAATAAAGGTTATAAATAAAATAGGCATCGTTGGAAAACCGGCATAAGAAATTGATATTTAAAAGATTATTTTAACAGAATTAATCTAATTATTGGTATCATTTAGTAAACAGTATCTGTGCTAGGTTTAAAATTCTTCAAACATAATTATCTCAGATCCAATAATAGGTACTTACAGCAATAAGTAGATAATAGTGCACGAGGAGTGTTTAAATTTCCAAATATTGATATTTCTTATTTATAACCAAAACTTTATGTTGTTTTAAATTGGGTAGATATAATGTGTATAGAACAATGGTATCCACGTACGTGACCTGACGCATTAGACCACCATTAACTGTATTTTAATCTCAATTTGTTTCAGGTAATAATTCTGATACTGGGTGCTAGTTTCTCAATTCTATATTTGCACGTGATCACTTTGGCTGCATTATTATTTATAAAATAATTTTTTTTAGATTAGCTTGTTTAAGCGCCACAACATCGTAAAATAGTGTCCGGGTTTAGTATCCAATATGCAATTTTGAACAACGTTAAAGAAAAACAATGCAAGTGCACACATTTACACACATCAAATACAATTGTATAAGTGTAATTATATTTGTAACATAAATCAGCATTTATTGTGGTTATAAATGTTTTATAATGCCCTCGATAGAAACGCGGTACTTAAACGTTATTTTGTAAATTACTTACGTTTTAAAAACGTAAACGTTTTAGCTAATAATTGAATAAGATCATTATACTGGATGAGTTACTTCTCGATTCTAAAAGTAATTTTAACTCGCCAGAATGTGAATCTTTAATCTTGTATAGTTTTAATTTATTTCGGCAAATATCAGGCAACACATAGGTATAATTTATATTTAAAATTGTATACAAAAATATGCATGCATCAACGTGAAGAGTACCCTACCTAACATTGTTTTATATTAAATTTCACTATTTAAAGTAGCAGGCATTTAAAATTTGGAAGTCTTTGATTAAATTTGACAGAAAATGGGCAATTTACGGCGAAGCCCGAGTATTTCAGCGCACAGAGGGCAAATTAATAAGGTCAATGATGGGGCAACCCTAGTACTTTACTACTGACATTAATCAATAAACGAATATAAATAAAATATCCTAGCTACACATGTACCTTCCTCTATATACTAAAATCATCGATTTTTTTATTTAATCATGTATTTATTGTCATTGAAATTTTTTAAGAAACTTATTTTTACAGTATTACCTACTACATATATGTATTGGTACAACGTTGTGTAGATTTAAGGATACAAATTTGGATTATTATGTGAATATAATGAATTGAAATAATACTTGTTTTTGTTTTTTTTTTAACATATATTATTTTTAAATCTTATGTTCATTTTTAACTATGTCGATCTATATTACGGTCTATACATTATATATTATGATCATATTAATTGTAAAAAATAAGTGAGGAAGAAAAGGCAGGTTAGTTAGCCCATCGTGTTGAATTGAACTGAAATTGAACACAATAGTTTCCAGGGGGACCGCAAGAGGTCGGCCTGACAGGATATATTGCTAGCAATGAGGCTGCCAGTCCCCATTATTATCGATCCCTTTTCCTCGTCATTAACGCACATGTCTCGCCCTTGCTGTCTAGGAGCAAGAGATTGCTATCATCATGGGCCCCATTGCTAGTGTAGATTACCCTAATCAGGTCGACCTCCGCCCGTTCACCCCTAAAAATCAGCGACGAATTCGCCAGAAATTGAACAATGTTTAATTTAGTGAATTCATCACTGATTTATGTTTATTTACCTTATTCAATGGTATCCCGCAAGTAATACTTTCTAACCACATCTTAAAGATTTCGAATTAATGGAATACTTATAGAAAATGATGAACATATTGAGTTTATTAAAGTCCCGTTTTATTATTCAGTTATATATAAAAACAAGCATACGTTTTAATATTAATGTCTTAAATATCGTTTCACTTTAGTATGGCAGATAAGAAAACCAGTAGCTACTATAAGATAAGGACTAGGCCAGTACAATCAATCTGGTAAAGCTTCTTTTTAACCTACTTCTAAAAAGTGGTGGTTATCAATTCGCCTATAATCTGATGTTTTATGCATATTTATGCGATCAATCGTCAATTTCGATTTGATTTTGGCAATTATTTTTGCAGTCGATAAGTTTTACTTCTGTGAACTAAAGTCACTGTTTTTTTGCAAAAAAAATCAACTTTCAGTAATAATATATAAGGTATGTAATGATAGAGGTAGATTTTTTAAATACATCGTATTTAACAACATATATAAAATAAGTTTTCTGGAGTCTGAATACCAAAAGAAATATACATAACAATTAACAATATATTAAATACCTTTGCACCAGTACGTAGTTATATACCCTTCACCTACTTATTTATGAGTGTTAGGTTTACATAATATTATAAAAGCATTGCACAATAATATTATATAAAATATCACATTTGTTAGTCCCTAATTTAAATATAGATTACTTACATTTTACATAACTATATTTACTGTTTTGTCTTAATATGCCTTGGAGAAAATTGTTAACTGTTGCCTATAAATAGATACGAATAACATCATGGATATCCGTTCTCCGCTTAGAACTACTACATATAAAATTGCTTAAAGAAACACCCGTGATTGTCAACAAAGTTGCATCCTAAGAATTCACGTTATATCATTTGGTTTGATAAGAAACACTAAAACATTATCTGTGTAAGTAGATCATTGTATTATCTATATATTACATTATATATCTATATATACATATTACGTCGTTACATATATGTTCTTACGAAGTTGCTCAGAGAGCTATGGAGATAGCTATGCTCGGAGTATCTTTGCGTAATAAAAACTGAAATAAGGATATCTGCGGAAAAAACCAAAGTGATCGAAATAGCCAGAAAGATAAGCAAGCAGAAGTGGTAATGGGTTGGTCACAACCAATGAAGAATAAAGGTCCCGATCCGAGAGTGGTATCCCCGTACTGACAAATGCAGGGTAGGGCGACCCCTCACTAGATGGAGTGGCGACCTCAAATGTATTACAGAGAATCAGTGGATGCAGTTGGCTCGGGACCGTACCTTATAGCAACCTGTGGTGAAGCCTTCATTCAGCTAAGATGATGATGATGAATTAGATCATTGTCTTCATAACAACCCATTATTATCGTTCTACTGAACGCACCTCTCACTATTATCTTAAACGGTGAATTTTTGTTTAAGCCAACCACTGATCGCCGCTTCAGGCAAAAATGAATATTTTCCGCCCTTTATAATGAAAGGCCATATTCATTTGCAGTGAGCTCATTTTGCCGCTCTATACATTTTTCTGGCTGGCGCACACCTAAATCGAGCCCTGAACATTAGGTGTTTCATGTATTGTACTGTTTTGATCTGGTCATGTCTTTTTTTACAATTTATGGCACCCCGGGAAATGTCACTCACAACACAATTGTATTCTTAACTAGTATTTACCAGTAATTTTCAAGCTAAATAACCACTTCTAGATGATGTGTCAAAATAAAACACTGCATTTTAAGATAGCTAAGAATACAATTTTGAAAACTACATTCATTTTGATGCAGTAGTTTTTACGTGTTACCGGAATAGATATGCTTACAGACAAAAAGTTGTTTGTCTGATTTCTAAAACTCTTCATATCAATTATAGTTAAATATCATTTGTAAAAGAAATTGTCTGGAGACGATTTTACTGCATTATTGGTATATATTAGACTGTTTAAATTTATTACATATAATTACTATTTGAATTAATCTTAACAACAACGAAACTAAAGAAGAAAATATATCTTAAAATTTGATATACAGTAATAAAAGTCTACATTCCGGTAACTGATAACCAAAGGGCCAGAGGTCACACCACACTCGGTTTATCTCGCGGCCATTTTAAACAGTGACTCCTTTGTCGCGACTTGTGACGCTTGTATTTCGGCTCCCGCTGCTCACTGCGACTCAGTGGTGACTACTACTGTTTCCTATTTCCTCTACTGATATTTCATGGTGCTACTTGGAACCATCAACCTGTTCAGTGCAATCGGCGCCCGCAAGGGCTCTAAAGAAAGTGCCGCCCTGATCAAAGCGCACGATAATCTGACGCTGCATAATATATTTTTCAATCTGTGTCAAGGTATGTACATTATTTCGAATTTAAATCCAGTTTATATAATTCAAATGTAAGATAACTCTAATTTCAATTCTAGGATATTTAGGTGCTTACAAAATATTTAACCAAATACGTCATAGAAACAATAATAAATATCAGTCTCTCGACAATTATCTCGCTTACGTGATTTGGACGGGTTGTAAGTACATAGATACATCATACTGCTATCAGTAGGTGCAACACAAATGTATATTTTAACAAATTTGAGTGTACCTAACACAGAAAAACGGCCGTGACATAAATATGATAGACAATTACAAAATTTTCCCTCTTATAAGGAGTTGTGTGTTTATATGTACATGTAACAAAATGAATTATTTGATTGCATATAAGTGATGCACCCTAAGTCCTGAACAGTTGATAATGCGGACAGACAGATAAATATTCCTTTATCTATGCCAATGTCACACTACATGAACTACCTGCTTGTATTTGTTATTAGGTGCTTAGTTTGTTCGCACATACGCTTGCATCCTGGAGTGGGCACCCCAATTAAATAAGCCTATTGTTTCTTCTAACTTCAGCCTACTCGTATTCATTAACTTAAACCTTCGTTTATTATCATTTCTTACTATTTGTGCTTTCAGCTTGTGAATTGAAGATAATGGCTTCGATCCCACCCTCCGCATTCTCTGCCGGACGTATTCGAGACACCCAGCGTAACAGAGGCGATATGAAATTGAAGACAAACGTCACTAAAAGCAATGAAAAATACTTCAATACCACGTGTAATAATATAACATTTTAGTCCATACAAATATATATATATATATATATATATATATATATATATATATATATATATATATATATATATATATATTAAATAAATTAATACCAGGAATCACAGTGTATTCTGTGGTTCCTATAGAGCTGGTCATGTCTATAAGCGATGGTTCACGTTTGCCATATTTTCCATCTGGTGAGCTATCAGTTAGTTAGCTTTTCCAAATTGATTAAAAGGAACCTATGTTATTACCTATGTTTATTTAAAGGAATTATGTATTGGTTTATTGGAACACAAAAATAACGAAATTGAAGGTACTTGGCAAATGAACGACTTTTGTACAGTCTCCCTCTGGTAAAGTTCCGCCACATTAAAACTTACAATCTTTGAGGTGTATAAAAATTAAAAAATCCGCCCGTATAGGTAACAGTATCCCCAGGATTCTGAGAGCATTGCTTAACCATAGCTAAGCTGATATGTTCTCCATGAAATATTCTTTGGGAAATGTATAATCAACTTACTCTTAGATCACTGGATCCGGTACAATTCTGTATATCTTTTGCTACTAATCTAAAATCTCTTGTTACTAAATTTTCATAAGTACACATTATATTATAATGTTATAAGTACTAGTTTAACTTACGTGTATTTTAGTCTAGAAAGGTCGACTAGTTTCAGGACCATCCGAGACCCTTAGTCGTAAGAAGCGCGAACATCACTTACTAAATTGTTTCCCCTTATTCTTCAAACCTAACTAAAATCTCCTAGAAACCTATTTTAATTATTATACTGTTTTATCACTTGCATTAAAAATGAGAATTTAGCACAAAAGAAAAAGACAAAATAGTTCAATAGGTGAAATATGTTTATGAGAGTTTTTATTGATTGATTGATAGTTTATATGAGAGACGTTTTTATTAATAAGTAAATTAAATGTTAAATTTATCATATTTACTATGTCTAAAATATTTATCTAATTAATATTAAAATATACAGGCGAATAATATTAAACGATGGGGCAGAGTTCTGGAACGTGGCCCGTATAACAACTGCAGAATTGTATTTTACATTTTAGTTAAGGAACTTTCACCGTTGAAGTACAATAGCAAGTTGATGAATAGCATCTGGGGTTTCTACAATCGGTATTCGCCACACAATGTGAAGAAAGTCAATGATGCCCACGCTTTCAACGGGGAACTGCAGCCGTGAGTATGATTCGTGCATTTGCTCATTTTATAATTGATCAGTCAGTCTGTTAATTCAATGCACAGAATATTCAACCCTGACTTAAACGATGTACCTTATTGCAAATAATTATAAAGGCCATAGCTGGAAGAAGAGTAAAAGTAAATGTCTAAGTATTTTACATATATACGCATAATTATGATGCTAAAAACTTTTTTTTATATTTTAACAACTAAGAATTAAACTAATGACATCAATCAGGGTTAAGCTATAATAATCCGTTTATTATATTTAATTTTTTTATTTCAAATTCTTATTAAATGCAATTATTGAGTAAGTAGGTACTCAAATGTACTACTCCTACCTACTTTAACTCAAGATCTTCACATTATGGGAATATCCACGTCTCTGGTTCTGGTGTCTCAGGTTGATGATACGTGTCTCTACAGACATCATCAACATTTCTGATTATAGTGCTGTTATATTTTATAAAAGACGGAAATTAATGTGAAAAGTCCTAGAACTCAAAATCTTGTCTCGTATAAAGTATATAACGCGAATGTCTAAAAGTTTATTTAATGCTATAACTACTTGCAAAACAGCTTTATATTATATTTCTGTTTATTATACTTGCAGATCGGCTGTCAGTTCCGGTTCTAAAAGTGAGCCTATGATCACTTTACCATCAACCAAACTAGACCAAGTTTGGGCTACAATCAACGCATCTCAATCTCAATAAAATAAAAATTGTATATTAATATCAATAGAACTGGTATAAAAATATTATCGTTCTTTCATTTTTAGATATGTAATATATTTATATTCTCAATAATCATTTGACAAAATCAAAAAAAACTGTGCTCAATTAATATACCCACAATCATATTACACTCATTTTTAAGTAAACCGTAACAGAATAAAAAATATTTGAATTGAAAAACAATTGCCTACTAAAACTACTGCACCAAATTTGATATGTTTTGATAGTAGTACCTTCAAAATCGTACAAAGTTATGAGCAAAAGCCAGTATACATAAAACTAACTAAAATTTACTATAATTTAATCTGGAAATGACTCCTAGGATGATATACCAAACAATAATTCATGTCACCAAATAACTTTATTCAATTATTTTCTACAAATGGCATTAAATATGTATCACAGAAAAATCTTTATTAATATTCTAAAAAGTGCATTAAACTTTAAAACATAAATCTAGGTTTATAACTTCTACCCTAGTTTGTATAATATATTTTCATATTCAGAACGAAAGCTGCAAGTGACACTTTTCTGATGCATATATAGATTGCAGTCACTGCTTATTGATGGCAACTTCAACCATCATATTGTAGCACCATTTGCAATGGTGCCAAGTATCATGCTTATACAAATAATATATAGATAGTATATAGATGCATTATATTTCAATACTAATAGTAAACTTTTGAGTCACATGTGTAATCTACACGGGGATTGCTCAATGCTGTCAGAATGTTCAATGCTGATCTGAGATAAATCAATATGTAACAGTATTCCTTTTTTTTTTTTAAACAAATTAGGCAATAACTTTCTTATCCACCCTTTGTAATAATCCTAGCACTGAAACAAGAATATTGCTAAACAACTGTAGGGTAAAAACTGTTTTACTCAATGAAATGGTGGCAGTGTCACTTCTTAATAGCCTTTACTTGTGAATACAAAAAAAAAAGAACAGAAAACAAAACAATATGTATAAGCAGATTCTTAGCAATTCTATATTTATATATAATATAATATCTATATATATCAATTAATCGAAGATAATAAACTGAATAAATAATACATTACATAATAATGGATAGTAGCTTTATTTACAGAATACAGAACAATAAATAAATAATCTTCCGCTTGATGTAAATTCTCAAGTCTATAATCTTAGATTAGATAGTCACAAGCATTTTATTATATTGAAATGAAGATTCCATAATACTAATGAAAAAATATTGAGTCAAAGTTCTTGCAAATTAAGATTTATGTTGAGCTTTTTTATTACTTTGTACATAGCATGCATAAGGACTTGGACATAACAGTGTGTAGTTTTATGTAAGCCATATAGGAAAGTACAACAATTTTATCTATTTATTTTAGACTGAAGCATTGATGTACATTATTGTACAACACAATACAAGATATCACTTTAGTCTTAGGAGTGGCAATGTGTTGTCTATAGATGACAGTTATAATTTATTTTCAGGTTCCTAAATTTCAGGTTTCTAAATTTATCAAGCAATAAAAGGAATATATAATAAAAACATCAATCTGTTAGGTGAAATCTTTTAGGAAACTGTGGATGTGTAGTGAGTGGATGTGTAAATTAGGACTAAAAATATATAGTGAGGTTTGAATAATATGATGCTTACAATTATAAATTAACAACAAACAAATATATGGACATGACTACACAATTCATTGTAGAATTTAATTGGAATATTTGACACAGCTAAAGTATATATTTTTTATAACTAAAACAATTTTTGAGCTTCCTAATGAATAATTTTAAATACTAATTTCAAGCAAATTAATAAAAATATAAGGTGTAAGGTAAGCTACTTAGCATTTTGAAAAAACATTGGGTAAATATTATAATACAAACTTAATTGCAATAAATATATAAAAAATGTTATTTGCAATGGAGATCAGTCGATTTTTATTGAAAAACTTGCTCCACATGAACATCCTATATCTGCATTAGGGTTCTGTATAACTCTAAAGGCTGATCTTATTAATTCTGTATGATAGTCTATTGTAGATCCTTTTATGTATTCCAGTGAAGTCTCATCAATTACTACTTTTACACCATCTTTTTCGAATACTCTGAAATCACAGAAAGTCAAATAATTATAAAATTGTTTTGCAATGTGATGATGGAGTAAGAAAACATTTTAATATAATAGAAAATACATACCACACCAATAAAAGATTAGAAATATTCAAAACAAAACTCTATATCAATTTAGAATTTTTTTTTTATATACAACTTAGAATGGCAAACAAGCTGACAGTCCACCTGATGGAAAGTGGTAACCGTCACCTATAGACATGAGCAGTACCATGGACATAATAGTATACTGTTTCGCTCATGATACCCCCCATGCGTTGCCATTCCTGAGGACTCAGGTGTTATTCCTCTGTACCCAGTAAATTCACACCATATCCCACCCTTCAAACCGAAACAGCCATGATTTTTTACAATGGTATAATCATCAAACTTTATCTATGTATCAATACTGTACCTATGCTTACGCAAATAATAATTTGATTAATTGTTTGAACATTGTTAGTATATAGGTCGATTTGCACAATGCTGATTATATTGTGAAATCTGAACACTTTATGGATGTGATTAAATATTGAATAACTGATAACAAACACAAACCTGTCATCATTCTCCATTTTATTGTCCAAGTCAAATTTATATTGAAAACCAGAACAACCGCCGCTTTCCACGCAAAGCCTCAAAAAACTATTATTACCATCACATAACTGTTTTAATTTCGTAACACAAGCATCACTAATATTAACTCCTTCGCCACTTGCTGGCAAAGCTTCTGTTATTTGTGAAGAATATAAGTTATTTCTAATAGAGAAGTAGTAAGTTCCTCTAATGATATGTTTTGTTCTCAGAAACATTTCAGATAACAGTTTCATAATATTGTCTTTTCCGAACTTTATAATTTTGTTATATCTCAATTTCTATTACTTCTTTTGAAAGAACTGTTTAATCTAATAGCTAGAATATTTATTGTATAACATTGTGAATAATTATTATATACCAAAAATAGTTATGGATCACTAACATATAGAAAAATTTAAAACGTAATAGGTACATAAAAAAAATTTGATGGCGAAACTAAAAAACAATATTTGACAATGACAACGTAATAATGACATATGACAATCCTGTTGACATTTCTGACCTGACAGAATTATTGACATCGACAAAAAGTATTGCTAGATTTTTTATTAGAAAATTACATTTATATAAAATATAATTTTCTAAGAACGAAAAAACTAATTTTTTCTTTCTTCTAACTAATTTTCTATGCATTAAAATATAGTAATTAGTTATGTGATTTTATGAAATAACATAATAATATATTAGGAATTAAATAAATAACTTTTAATTCAATTTTAAGCGTAAAATAAATATTTCTTACGTCATATAAAAAAGTTTCTAAAACCTGTACCATATTTTAATAACTTATTGGAAGGCTAAACAGTAAATAAAATTTTTAATAAAAAACCAATCTAAAAATGGTTTTTTTTTTTACTATTATATTAATAATTATATTAAGTTTATATAACGTACAATCGACTATTCAGAATTACCCAAAGAATTTTTTTTATATCACTGTGATGACAAACAAGCATACGGCCCACCTGATGGTAAGCAGTTACCGTAGCCTATGAACACCTGCAATACCAGAGATATTACGCTTGCGTTACCGACCCTGAAGAAATCTCTTTATCCCCCTTTTGAAGAACCTCATGCTGTAGTCTCTTGGGAAAACCTCGGCAGGAAGCTCATTCCATAACCTGATTGTTCGTGGGAGGAAACATCTCTGAAACTGCGCTGTACGTGACCATTCAGGCTGAATTTCATAAAATATTATACGAATATGTGAAACATAAACTTTTGCATCACTCTGTATGAACATTAAGATTGATTCTAATGCGCCATTACTCTAAATATCTCTCTCTATCTCTTATAATCTAATATTTTTATTCGATAATTTCGCGAAATTACTATTTAATGAACCATCACAAACTAAATAATAATTTTACTTAATTCTATTACAAATTTGGTATATATTTATCCTTATATTAAAGAGTTAACTGTGACGTCAAATTGAAATATTAATGATATCCCAGTCACCATCCACTCTTCGTGAGCTTTTTGGCGACTTTAGGAATACATATAATATTTCCAAAAATATTGCGTCTTGTTGTCGCCATACTGAATATTGATTGCTATTATATCTTTAATGATATTTGCCAGATTAAAACAAATCTATTGACCTAAAAATTATTAATACAGGCCCATATACATGCATATACTCATAAACACATTACTCTCGTTGGCTTCACGTGGTCGGCTAAAAATTATCTTTTCAATAGTTACGAAAATACTTCGACTTCGTAATTCAATTATAGAAATTTACCTTAAATGTAAGAAATATAATTGTCTGGCAACATTCTCGAGTTCGTTTTCAACCTCTTCATAATCATGTCAAAAAATTAAGGAGAATCTCAGAAAAATCAGTGAGCTCGGGTCCTTTTTTTATGACCGCAAAGAGTCAGAATTTGTCAATCTTATTTTTTGCATTATTTAAAAGCGATTAAATACTATAAATTTAAGTTTCAAAAGTTACTACTTTTACTAAAAGTACTTGATCATTAGAAAAAGAGGACATTCCGAGTAACCGGGTCGGCTTGGCTGCGTTCGTACTAATTCATACATGAACAACTATATAGAATAATTTTAACGAAATTTTAACGATTACAAGAAACGTACAGTGAACGAAATTTGTAAGTCAAATGAAATGAATCATTTGAATAATCCGAATGAATTGCTTAGTCTATAGTTATTTTAATCATAATAACTTGTAGTATTAATAATAATTAAAAATTAGTAAAGTCCCCCACCGCTACTGTAAAGCGATGTAGAATAAAAAAGTTATTTGAATAATTACTAATTTTATAATTCGACTACAAAATTATTAATATACTAATTTTTGTATTCGAAAGATTTTACAAAAGAAATTTTAACAAAGTTCTTTCGCTGTATCTACTAGTACTAAGTATGTTTGCTGTATCCACTACTACCTTGCTTCTATGAGTGATACCACCAAAAAAAAAATCACCGTCAACATACATAATAACAAACACTCCCAATTACAAATCTACTACATTCCTAAATTCCAATATTAATTATAAAAATTAATTCAAATTTACTTTCCTACTTCCTTAAATTATAATGAAAATTATCATTTTACTATATATATATATATATATATATATATATATATATATATATATATATATATATATATATATATATATATATATATATATATATATATATATATATATATATATATTGCAATTACGTATACCAATTGCATAAAAGAAATCCAGCGATCAGATCGACTTGGTAATGTTCGCACCGGCTCATCAACAACTACTAATGAATGAAATTAGTAGTCGAATGTTTTAAAAGTCATTCGAATAATCGCAATGAATTGCTCAGTCAAATAATTAATAGTCGAATTGGTAAAGTCGCATCTCGCTAATAGATATTTATTATGAATTACTTCTTTTTGTCTCTCTTGCTTTCTCTCTCTCTCTCTCTCTCGTGCTTTCTCTCTCTCTCTCTCTCTCTCTTTCTTTCTCTCTCTCTCTCTCTCTCTTGCTTTCTCTCTCTCTCTCTCTCTTCTCTCTTTGATACAAATGTTTATTGCAGACAAGTGTATTTAATTCATCTAACGATTAGGAAGCGATCGTTTTGCGTAATATTATTTTTATTTTGACGATAAAAGCAATCACGCGCCAAGTGTACGCGCAATATTTTTTATTGTTATAAGAATTCACTTCGAGGGAGTAGGTACCCGATAGACCAGGGGTTCCCAAACTTATTTTGTCTACTGCCCACTTTGACAATAAATTATTTTTAGTGCCCCCATTTTTCCTTCTATTTAAAAACCACTATTACTTCAAGATCAACAAATCACCCCCCAAGCAACACAACGTCGCATTTTTTTTTCTGGGTCTCTTACCGCCCCCCTTTAGGCCTGCAGCGCTCACAAGAGGCGTTATCACCCACTTTGAAAAAGGTTATCGTAGACCAAGAAGAGTTTACGAAGGGAATTTATTTATATGACCTATTTCTTATAATTTTTGCTTTACTGTTAAGAGGAAACTGAACGAACAAAAAGGACCTATCTAGATAGATAATATGGTAATCTTATCTTTTTATTATATTTACTTATTCCTCCTTCATTTTTCGATATCGTTCCACTAGGATCACAGATTAGAGACACGAGGATGGGGCAACGAATGCATCACTTCATGTGCGTATCATATACAGCGTAGATTCAAATAAGTAACTACCTACAAGTAACTTTGCAAACTTACGAAAACCGTGCCTTAATATTATGGAATCTCATAACGTATCTATTCCCTTTATCTTATAACCTTGGATTCTTCAAACGCGAAAAAGCACTTAGTGAACCGGCGTGGTGCAGCCAACTGTTGAGAGCAGATAGATATATAACAATTTTATTTGTAGGTATAGTAGAACGTTATCTTTTCGATTGATTGCATTTATTGATCATAATTGTCGCTGTATTCACTCAGGAAGGTCTGGTTAATTCTTGTGTTAATATAAAAAAATCCTGATACCATACACATGTACTTATAGTACTCCTTAGATTATTTAACTCTTGGACAATATTCAAAAGGTATCTTTAAGTCGTTGGGTTGCTCTTATTGAACTTTTGGCGTGAATTTACTGGGTACGGAGGAATAACACATGAGTCCTCAGGAATGGCAACGCATAGGGGGTATCATGGGCGAAACAGTATACTCTGTTATGTCCATGCTACTGCTCATGTTTATAGGCGACGGTTCCTTCAGATGGGCCGTCAGCTTGTTTGCCATTCTAAGTTGTATATATAAAAAAAAAAAAAACTGTTAATAAGGTACGGGACAAAGGGAACTATTCATCACAAAACTTCATCATCATATTTCTTTATTAAAAATATGTTTTTCCAAGTTGGGTTAAACTACTTAATTAGATTAGTAACGATTAGTAATTAGTAAAATATAATGTTGTTCAGGGCGTATTCTATAAATATTTTCAATTATTTCGTACCTCATTTAGCTCACCTAAAATTACATTTCAATATGAGTTTTGAAATCTAAATTGAAACCTTATTTAATTCGTCAGAAAGGGTCTACTGATATGGGGGTCTACTATGAAATTAAATTCCGAATTTTCGCTCTCTATTTCGTGTTTTCGTTCATACTAAAATCGGCCCAAAAAATGGAGCTTAACGTTGCTTTCGTCTTAAATCCTACCATAAAGTTCCAAAGGAGCGATATTTTAGCATTTCTAATATTTTTAAACGGTGTTTATTCTGTAATATTAACATTACATTTGTGTTTAGTTCGCCCCTGAAATTTCGAAAAACATTTCATGGTAGGCCCCTTAGAGTATAATCAGACCTATCAGGTCAATTTCTACTCGACTCTCTTTGGAAAGCAGCATGATAAATTGTTATTGAATTAGTCATGCGGGCCAACTGATCTGTATCATGCGGGCCAACTGATCTGCATCATCCTCACCTATCACCCCTTAATGGTGCCCGTCACTACTACTTCGTTTTCATATACATATTAAAATATATGGAACGTCGAACAACCTAGTTTCAAAAAAGATTTTGGCACCATAGACCACATACATACGATTATACAGAAGACTGAAAAGTATAATCTACCACTATGTCTGGTGTTTATAGATTATGAGAAAGCCTTTGATTCAGTTAATACATGGGCGGTACTACAGTCCTCCAGCGGTGCTAGATTGACTATAGCTATATCAAAGTACTTAAGTGTATATATAATAAGACTACGATATAAGACAGAGTGACGTCATATCCCTGAAACTATTTCTTTTTTAATGGGGATAATGGAATGGTAACTCCATTGCTATCAATCCACCGGCCCCCACACAAATATATTAGAAAATGTTTTTAAACTCCTTGACTGTAAAAGATATGATATAAACATCAATTGCAAATGTATCGTTCACTTTAGTTTTGCCAATGATATTAATAATGCTTTTCTACAATAGGTCCTAAGTTGAATATGGACAAGACTAAAATTATGCTAATATATATATATATATATATATATATATATATATATATATATATATATATATATATATATATATATATATATATATATATATATATATATTCAATCAATCGAGAGGTCAACTGTCAAACCCAACTCGGCTGGTTAGTGTTTGGAAAACTATACCACATCTTCTCCTTAAAAAATACGTCAAACTTTGATAATGAAATACTTTACCCAGTGTGTGTTACCATTCATGACCTACGGAACCGAAACATGACCCTACATGGTTGTCTGTATGCAAAAATTTCATAATGCTCAGAGAGCTATGCTTATAGTCTTTTTGCGTGATAGAATCGAAACCGAAAAAAGGTTATCCGCAAAAAAAAAAAAACCGAAGAATAAGTAAGCTGAAATGGCAATGGGCTGATCACATAGCTCAAAAAACCTACAAGCGACGGTTAATAATGTTTCTTAAGTGGCGACCCCATACAGGCAAACACAGTATAGAATGAGCTTCCATTAGATGGAGTGACGACCTCAAATGCATTGCAGGAAGTTAATGGATACAGGTGGCTCAGGACCGTTCTTTATAGCAGTCTATAGGGGTGGCCTATGTTCAGCAGTGCAGAGACAATACCTGATATCATGATAATAAAAAACAAATCGACCAGGTGTAAGTTGAACTCACATACCGAGGGTTCCGAAATATATAAATATAAAATAAAATGACCTTTATTGCATTACACATACGCTATAGACACCTAATAATTATTACTATCGGTACTATAATTCGTAATTTCTTATTTTGCGCTATAATCGTAATTAAAATTTGGACAGCATTACTAAGTTTGCTTTTAAAGGTTTTTTTGATAATTTCTCAAAAACGGTGCTACTTAGAACCATCGTTTTATTTTCCCTATAATATTGATATATACTTTTATATACTATAAATATTTCAGATTTTACGCTTCAGAAATTTCGATAATAAAAGCGCTTTCATATGATACCCCACTTGGACCAGTATCTCAATTTTGAAATTACGTAACTATCCCTTTTGAATCCTCTAGCAAAGAAAATAAAAAATATTTTTTAAATTATTTCCATTGCAATATGTGCAAGCCAATGATATGTAAAACTTTTCAAATGTCAAGTTCATAGCATTAGTATTTGCTAAGATTTAACGCTGTGATAGACAACCGGATGAACAAAGGCACACTATAAGGGTTCCTTTTCATGGCAAGTAGTAGTATCTTATGATATGAGTAGAATAAAAATGTTAAAATGAGGAGCATTTTTTAGTTAGTGATGCAATTAAAGTCGCAAATAAATAAGGCCCGCCTGATGGCAAGAGATTAGTGGCTAAAGAAATGTCGTTATCCTTTTTTTGTCAACCTTTTTACTATTTTTTAACTATTTGTCTGTAGCATAATATCAAATAGATCGATTTATGAAATTCACGCGAGTGAATAATGATAAAGGACCCACATTGATACGTCACATGGAGCTCACTTTTTTGAACAGATTCCAAGCAAGCTTTGAAGATGCTGTTACAATAATGATAAATTATCTCTAGTGTTCTATTCTGTAAAGAGATTATATTTTATCTTCATATCAAGAGCTGTACATAAATACATAAATATGCCTACTACAACGTCTTTTGCTTATCAGTAGAAGACTTTAAACGTTAAAAAAATGTCCATAAAAGACATAAAATTGATACTTGGAAAATATGTTCAAGTGTTGAAAACATAGGTTTCTTTTATGATACGGACACCTCTATGTATTTTTGAATATTGCCTTTTAAACTATAATAAAATTAAAAATTAAAAATAATATCCATCCGCCAGTTTTTATATCATCTTAAGAATACGGCAATGAAAATGAATTAATAAAAAGAATGAATTTATTGCTAATTGTTCCCGCGAATTTACCCGCGTAAATCAGTATGGTAAAATCACTATGCGCTAACTAGGATATCGATATAACTTATCCGTGTATCAAATTACATTTAAATCTTTTTAGTATTTTTTTCGTAACAGAGTAACATCCATAGATGTACGCATTTATCTATCCATCCTTACAAATTTTCAGCATTTATAAAATTAATAGGATGTATTTATTTATTATGTATATGTATTAAATTACCTTTATAATTTCTATTGACAGTATTATGAATCTAATTGCATTATCCAACAATTTTCGAAATTAATATAATTTGTTCAGATAATGAAATAACTGCGTCATAAACTACAGGCACGTATTTTATAATGTATTTGCAAATTGCATATTATTTGCCTATTTCAAGGGTAATTTTATTTAACTACAACACTGTCCATGTTGTGCTATATGATGAAGTGAGAAGGAAACACGAAAAAATGAAAGAGATAAACAATCATTGGGGTGAGCTGGCCAGCGGACCGCTATAATAAATATCTATTGATAGTTTTATTTGGGATAGTTCTATATAAATTGTAATAGATATGTATAACAAAAATATATTTTGTAATCGTTTATTACAATACATAAAATAAATATAAAAAAATAATTAAATATAGTTAAATATGAACTAATTTTAATTAAAAGTAGCTACTTAAGTAAGTATAAAAAAATATTTACTTTAGAAAAGTTGTTAACATATTTTAATGAATACTTGAATACTTTTTAATCAGCCGATTGCAGTAAACACAACAAGATATTTTTCAGTCTATTTACTGGCCACCCTACTCTACTTTGCGCGGCAGCGGTCAGAAGGCGGGGCTTATCGGCAAACTCGCGTCGAGGCTAGCTTCACTGTCAATTCGAGAGCTGCGAAGAGTACGCTCGCGTCTATTACGTGGTGTGTTTATAGTGAAGTGGATTTTGTGATGAGATTATCGAATGTCGTGAAGTGAAAGATAGTGTTGTTTTTATGACGAAGTGTAACTTAAGTGTTGGAAACAATGTTTATGGTAAATTTTAAGTGATTAATCAAAATGTGTGAAGCACCGTTTAGTGCAAAATTGATTTTTGCCACGTAGTGACGCAAACGGGTAATGATTCCTAATGTGGAGTTCGAAGCAAGATGGTTAGAGAGACTCGGCACCTGTGGGTTGGAAATTTACCCGATAACATTCGTGAAGATCGAATAAGGGAGCACTTCAAACGGTAATATATTGTTTATTTTTTATTTGTATTTCAGCTATACTGTTGCGTTAAATCTATATATTGTTATTAACATTAAATTAAACGTATGTATAACAAGAAACCAAACACCAAATGAATTTTTATTGAATAACTATTTATTTGTTGTTATACAAGTATTTCCGTTTATCCTCGTTTGTTAAACACTTTGTAAATAAGGCACATAACTACGTGAAAGCTGATTTAGTATTGTTATGCCGGCTTCCATTCTACTGCTGCTAGAATGATGTAAATGTAAAATAACAAACAAAGCGTTACAAAAAGTGTGGTCGCGCTGAGTCTCCTCTCGTTACCTACCTACGTACCTCGCTCACCGGTCGGCGGTCGACACGGCACGTCAATGACGACATGTTGCAACGTCGCAAAGCCAAGACAGAACATAAGTCGCTTTCCACTCAAGTAACTGGCTTTGTATTGTGTGTGTGACGCGTAGGCATACCAACGTTATCGGGCTGGTAAATTTGCTTGTTTTGCTAGGTGTAGGTGGTTACAATTCTGCGATTAATGTATATAGACCTAACGGTTAAATAGGGGGGGGGGGGAAGGGATTGTTAGTAATGGGAAGGTTAGTTCATATTGCATATAGTATCAATATACTCGATCAGGTCGACCTCCACGCGGTTCCCCCTGGAAACTGTCGTGACTAACCTTTTCATTCTCACCTCTCACTGGTACCCCGCCAGCGTATGCGGATAGCTCAGGCGGGATTACCATGCCATTGTCACCCATGAAAAAAAAAACTGTTAAATAGGTAGGGGGAAAGGATTTGTTAGTAATAGGAGGGTCTCATTGCTAGCAATATACACTAGCAGGTCAACCTCCACGTGGTTTCCCCTGGAAACCATCGTGGTTAATTCCTGTTGACTGACCTGCTTTTATCCTTACCTATCATCTCTTCCTGGTACTTACCAGTATATACAGTTAGAACAGGTGGTGTTACCGTTCTATATTCACCCATTTAAAAAAAAAATATGGGGGAAATAGATTGTTAGTAATAGTTGTTTAACAGCCCCATTACTAGCATTATACGCTATCAGGTCGACCTCCATGCGGTTTCCTTATTATTAACCAATTTAGATAAATGGGATGTCAAGATTATTAACCAATTAGATATGCCTAATATTATGTATAAGTACAGTTAAATGGTTGAAATACTGATAACGTACATGTATAGTCTAATAAAACTTAATGAAAACATATCCAAGTTTTGGTGAAACCATCCTAGAAACATTGCCAAAAATCAGGAGGAGGGAGATTGTTAGTAATGGGACTGAGGACTTCATGTTTAGTAATAATATACCCTAACAGGTCGACCTTTATGTGTTTTTTTTAATGGATGATAACGAAAGATAATGGAATGATAACCCCGCCTATGCTAATGGTATATGCTGTCGGGGCATTAGTGAGAGATGATACGTGAGAATGAAAAGGCAAGTCAGTTAGCCCATCGTGATGAATACACCTGGAATTCAGCACGATGGTTTCCAAAGAGGACCACGTGGAGATCGACCTGACAGGGTATATTGTGGAGAAAGGTATTGTTAGTAATAGGGGGGGTCAAACAGCCCCATTTCTATTTTTTTTAATGGATGATAATGAAATGGTAACCCCGCCTACGCTAATGGTATACGCTGGCGGGGCACTAGTGAGGGATGATAAGTGAAATAAAATGAAATAGCAGGTCAGTTAGCCCATCATGATGAATCCACCCGGAAGCCAGCATGATTGTTTCCAGGGGGGACCACGTGGAGGTCGACCCGACGAGGTGCATTGCTAGCAATGGGACTAGTAGTCCGCACCACTAAAAACACCCCCCCCATTACTATTAATATACCTTATCATGTCATGTCATCAAGATGGAGAAGAAGAAGAAAGACTCTGTTTTCCGCACTTAGCCTCCCATTTGGGCCGTTGTGCGTAATAAGTAAATAAGTAAGTAAAATAAGTAAATCAAGATGGACTAACTGATCTGCTTTTATCCTCATCTGCCATCTTTCACTTGTATCCAGCCAGTGTATACCGATAGCGCAGGCGGGGTTACCATACCATTATCACCCATTAAAAATATATTGCTAGCGATGAGATTGGTAGTCTGCATTACTAACAATTCCTTCCCTCCTGACCTCCATGCATTCTTTAAATGATCACCCATTTGGATGGGTATACTCAATGGAATGGTAACCTCGTCTGCGATATCGGTATACGCTAGCGGGGTCACCAGTGAGATGAGACAGATGACTATGAAAGTCAATCCGTTAGCCCATCGTGACGAATTCTGCTAGTTTTAATCACGATAGTTTTCAGGGGGAACCTTGTGGAGGTCGATCTGGTAAGTTATAGGTGAATTAGATCTCATTACTAACAATCCCTTTCCCTCCAACCTCACTGCGTTACCACCATTTAGCCATTATGGTTAATTTTTAGCAAATTAATTGCTATGGGCTGACTAACCTGCCTTCAGAGGGTTGGGGGGGGGGATTGCTAGCAATGCGGATTACCACTCTCATTGCTAACAATATACCCTAACAGGTCGACCACCCTGTGGTCCCCCTGGAAACCATCGTGCTGAATTCATAGTGTTATTCATTACGATGGGTTAACTGACCTGTCTCACCTATCATCCCTCATTGGTGCTTCGCCATCTTATACTGTTACCGCAGGCAAGGAGCAATTTCATTATCATCAATTTAAAAAAAAACGTTCCTTCCGTCAGGTGAGAAAGGGATTGTTAGTAATGGAGACTCATTGCTAGTAATACCTATCAGGTCGAACTCCACGCGATTCCCCCTTGAAACCATTATTGTTAATTCTAGTGGAATTCGTCACGATGGCCTGACATGTTTTCATTGTCACCTATTATCCTTTACTGGTGACCATTTTTTTTAATGGATGATAATGGAATGGTAAGTGGAGAGATGATAGGTGAGGATGACAAGGCAGATCAGTTAGCCCATTGTGACGAAATCAACGATGAAGATAGTTTCCAGGGTAAACCGCATAGAAGTCGACCTGACAGGGTATATTGATAGCAATAGGGACTAACCTCCCCATTACTAACAATCCCTTCCCCCCGCGCAGGCGGGGTTTCCATTATATTTTCATCATCATCCTCATCTTCCTTATTCCAATTATATTTTCTTGAGGGAAAAGACTCGTTACTAATGGGCTCTGACAGCCTCATTGCTAGTAATATTTTCAGGTCATTAATATGTACTGGTACTTAATGTATTGTTAATATACATTAAGTACCATTCTATTTATACCTATTTTTTTTTTCTCTTCCATTCATTTCGCACGCAGTCCAGTCATGGCTTTTTAAGTTTTGCTTAATTTTAATTGCCGTACACAACTATTCCCTATCCAATATCTCCCCACGAAAATCGGCCAGCGATTGTATCCATATATGTACTGTAGACCGTCAGCGCTCACTTAGAAGTTTGTCAACTTTTACGTGAACCGTACCGTAACAATTAGAAATGGCCTTACCCGTGACATGTTTCCTTCGTCCTATAACTTCAGATCCTTTAAAGGTAGCATGAAAAAGCATTTTGTGGACCGGTATAGTGATCGTATTCATAGATCGTGTCGTCTTTGTGTTCGGTTAAGTTGGCCAGGTCACATGTGCTATATAAAACAAAAAAAAAAAAAAATAGTACTTAATACTTTTCTTAAAACATGCTTTTCATTCCTACGGATCATAAGCCCATATCAAGATAAATGGTTACTATTTGACTTTTTTATCACTAGCGTTACTTTCGAACGTATTTTGCCCATTTTTATCACGGCACACATCCGTTTCAACATCGTATTTCAATAATGTGTAGTCGTTTTTTGTCCGATTCATCAATTGGAAAACAATTACCAGTTTATAAGTTTCAAAGAACCTAACAACATAAATTTCAAGACTAATTGGTTTCAACGCTTGAGTGATGTTATTAAACATGTTACTTACGTGAATATCAAATTATAGTTGCAAGCAACTAATAGGATCAATTCAAAATTGAACTTTGAGGTAAGAGCATTCATTATTTTTTGTTTGGTAATTGTGGTCTGAGTCCGCACGCTGAATTTTAAATCACGACTAAACACAATCATTCAATCTCACTATTGATTAGTTTAGTACTACTGATTAGTTTTCTGAATCAAAATAGTTGGAATATTGTTTTTCTATTAAGTATTAGTATAAATAAATTAGTATGTAAAATTACTGTGAACTAGTAACTAAAGCCGGTAGTACTATTTAAAGTATATATGTCTAGATTTACTCATTTATATTTTATCGTAATTTTTTTTTATAGGTTATTGTAAAATATTTAATCTGGGGGGAAAGGTATTGTTAGCAATGGAGTTTGACAGCCCCATTGCTAGCAATATGCCCTATTAGGTCGACCTCCACGTGGTTCCCCCTGGAAACCATCGTGAACAATTCGTCACGATGGGCCAACTGACCTGCTTCATCCTCACCTATCATTCTTCACTGGTGCTCCGCCAGCGTATCCCGATAGCGCAGGCGGGGTTACCATTCCATTATCACCCATTAAAAAAAAATGTAATCTACCAATTTCACCAAAAGACCTTGTTTATATCGATTCTGATTAAAAAAAGGATAATATGATTTTGAGTAAGAATAGAAGCTGCTTAAGTTGGAACTTGGATATCATACAAAAATTTGACAAAAATGTTTATTTTATCATTGTAGATATGTACTAAAGGTAGTTTTGATTAGTTGTTTCGACGTAAACGAGACATTACGGCGGCATAACGGTACGATACAGGGGATATAACGAGAGCAGGAATTTAGAAATTATGTTCTAAGGGACCTACTTGCAAGTATAATGTTTATTCAGCTGTGTAATAGTTATATCTTAAGAAAGGAAAAGATAGGTATTCGATGAAGAGAGGTATTCTATTAGTGATGAATTGATGAACGCGTTCGTTTACGAGTTCTTTTATATTTCTAATCTAAGCATATTTATATGAGGGCAAGGTTAAAAGTTCTGTCTGACAATAAAAGACTGCGATTTTTAGTAAAAAAATATTTTTATTTTTCTACATAATCTCCCTTGACTTTAAATATTCATTTACGGCCCTCTAAACTTCTTTATCGGACGTAACGTGACATTTTTTCAAGTTTGGGAATAGATAGAAATTGTCAAATCAGGAGAATAGGGGGGATAACCGAGCAAATCGTACGAATTTTATGACGGCACGATATTCAAGTTTATCCACTTCAACGAAAAACATACACGGCGTTTACTGCAAACATTCGTGTAAATAATCTATTTGAGAGAACAAGTTTAAACTTGTCATACGTACTAATGACACATGCACTTAGGCAAAAAAATATAGTTTTTGCTGATCAGATCGTATCAATGTTTCAATGGGGAATCAATAGCAACTGATTTACTTAGTCGAGCCGCAGGATTTTATTTTGGTTAAGTTGTACATTACTTATTTATTTAAACTTTAATGCACAGTCAAATTCTATGTACATTTGGCAGACTTAACACCGGGTGGTATTCTCTACTAGTTAACCATTGGACAAACTGAGAAATAAGTAGGCAGTGTATTATTGAATAGAGGAAAAATAAATCAATACTTGATATATTCATATATTATAAATATATAATTAGACTAATATAAACATACACATAATAAATAAATAAATATACACATATTATAAATACATACATAAATAAATACATAAATTACTATATTAAATCAAACAAACACATAAACACGTAAATATGTCTATGAAATATCTTGTTAAATACAAGATATTCGAATAAGATCGATCGATATATATAAGAATCGATATGTGTGCAATTGAAATCGCTGCTTTTTTGCGGAGCACAATTTGCACTTCTTCTATCCCCCAAGCTTGTGTAGTTTACACAACAATGTTTGTTCGTCTTAAAAATATAATAATGAGAATATCAGTGTCATCGACATATTACTGTTGCTAATTACTATCCATTACTACAGATCTGGAACGTGTAAATGAGCAAACACATTTACTGTGTAAATGTTAATTCATTATATATTTATAAAATAATGAGATTGTAATAAATTGTTGGTCAATGGTTTTGTTTCGGACTTGTGAAGTTGTAGTTTAGAATATATTTACTTATATGTTCTGGCTGACATACATTTCATCCTAGTTCAAGAGCTTTATGTGTAATTCGATCAATTTATGATTTAACAAATATATCGTCATAGTCGTAGAATACTGACGTATCTCACAAAGATTACATATGAAGATCCGTCAGTATTCTACGACTATGACAATATATCCCAAAGAGGGTTGACATCAGGGACGTAAAACTAAAAGCAAATCTTTTTGTTATATGGATAAAAACATATTACACCGACCCCAAATAATAATTGGGATAAGGGTAGGAAGATGATGATTTATTTATTTATAACGTAAAAAATATGAATTAAAATATACCTATTTCTTTGTGGTTTACGTCGAGTTTCCGTATCATTTTGTTTTGAAGTCAACAGCGTCCAAGCGGCAATAGAAGCTGGTAGTTCTGCCTCGCCACGCTTTTGCAATGTTGCGCTCCAAAAGCAGCATGGGTGCGCGGGCGGGGGACGCTGACAGGTCATCGAACTCGCCACGAGCAGAAATAACTGGCGAGGAGCTATCTCTTGTAATTTAAAGCGTCTGTTTTATGATATGTTTAGAATAAAAGCAGACAACAACAATTTATAGAATCAATTGATTTACATTATTTTTTAAAGACGATTCACTTTTTTTTACGTGACTGCTGTAATCATAGTAATTCAGTTATTTAGGATTTAAGTTTGAATGTTCTCTATAAATATATTTAAATTTATCAAATATAATATTTTTTAAAAGATTTGCAATTTGGCCGTCGTTTATATATTTATTGTAACCACGACACCTATTATTACGACGTGGAATAAGACTTATTGTTAGTGGAGCTTGATTGTATGCTGTGTCATTATTATGAAATTAATAAAAGTAAACACATATTTACGTAAAATGTATTTATGGGACAATACCTGAGTTAAAAAACGCAAATTATAATATTATTCATTTCGAATAACTCACCAAGACAGGGTTAAAGGACATCTTTCACTGAAGACCTCGGGAAAATTAAGCATAGCTAAGAATTGAATAAAACAAATTTTGTAACTCCGGGTGAATAATGATAATGTTTGTCGGGCTTTGATAATTGGATTCGTAAAATAATACACGCCAATTGCGTAAGCTCTTGTTTTTTTTAAGTTGTTTAAATATAAAAAGGTGGTAAATAAAAAACATCTATAAACAAACAATCAATAAAAATCAGGTATGTAGGTATTATTTAGCTGTAATGACGTAGTATAAAGTTCTAATTACAATTTAATTATGTATGTACAATATTGTAATTATTTATTTAGGCTTTATTTATTTATTACTGACGGAAGATATCGCGTAGTACACAAAAAATACATCCGAATTGAGATCATTCTCTTTTCGATGACAGTAGAAAAAATACGATGAGTTTATATAAACGAGAAAAACTGCAAGTGCTTTAGAAAATGTCCTTTACGTGTCTGATATTTTACTTGTAAATTACGTATGAACAACAAGTTGCCAACCAGTATTCAGCCTGACAATAGAATTGAAGGATCTTTACGAGTATCGTAATGTTGATAGAATGGAACGAAACTCTATACACCTGTATATATACCTCGCTGTCATCACTGTTATCTCAATTGCACTAAATATAGTATTTTTGAAAAAGTCTATAGTATGGGCAGATAGTAAATTCATGGTTTCGTCTTCAGGTTTTTTAAACTTTAAAGTAAAAAAAAAAAATGCTCTTTTTTGATGAAATGATCATCCATTAAAATTGAAATTTAATAAACAGAAGCAAATGAAACATTATAGACTCATACTTTTGCTATTGTATTAGTTACCTTTAAAATTTTGCCGTAATCTGCCATTACGGGTTATTTTATGCTACTAGAGTTCAAAAATTACACGCTATCGCGGTTTGTCAAATACGTAACTACTACAGTTACGTATTTGCTTATAATTATTTTTCACCAATTTATGATGTTATACTATCGAGAACTTCGGTTTAATATATCTTCTAAAATATTTTGTTTTTAAAGTATATCTTTATTTCATAGTCTGTTTGTATCTCAGAGATAAAGTAATACAATCCATACAGGTGGCCAATGAATGCATTAGCATAGTACAATGAAACGGTACTTTAGTGAGGTTGTCAGACGCTTTGTCTGCTGTAGTTACAGATTGTTTCCATAGAATTTCTATCAAAGGTTCAGTATTTTGAAATTAAAATAATTGAAGTCGGTTTATTTGTAGAACACCGTCTTAAATTATATTTAATTATGTTTAATTTTTACGAAATTTCACTCTTATTTTTTTATTGACATTAAAATGCATTTGAATTAATTTATACAAATGGAAATAACTATATTTTTTTTATATATATATATATATATATATATATATATATATATATATATATATATATATATATATATATATATATATATATATATATATATATATATATATATATATAAAATTCTCGTGTCGCGGTGTTTGTTACCAAACTACTCCGAAACGGCTTTACCGATTTTTATGAAATTTTGTGTGCATATTGGATAGGTCTGAGAATCGGCCAACATTTATTTTTTATACCCCTCAATGATAAGGGTGAAATATTTTTTTTTTATTTTTCGACAAATTTTTTTATTTTACTATGATTTAGCATTAAAAATAAATACATACAACTTCAAATATTCACGCTTTTACAATCGACTCCTGTTTTTTAATCGCGATTTTTATATTCCGCAATAGGGTTGCAAGATGGCGATCGAATATAATAATTGTAATATGATAAATTTTCATGTATAGTTCTCGAAATAATGTATATGGTAAAACAACGTTTGTTGTAAAACAGGTTGTATCCCGCGGCTTCACTCATATCTTAAGTGCTAAGGTAGGATATAAACCTATCTGTACATAACATTTTTTTCAAATTCGTTTAGTAGTTTTTACATGAAAGAGAAACAAATATCGATTAATCCATCCATCGTTACAAACTTTCGCATTTATAATATTATTTATTATTAATTTTCATTTTGAAAGAAATACTATTAACCGATGGATGACGAATTATTCATGAAAAAATTTAAATTATTTAAAAGAAAAACGACAGTGATTACGATTTATGACTGTGTTTAAGTGTTTATGTCTAAATAAAGAAGAGAAACAAGAACACGTGTAATATGTCGCAAGCGAGGTGATATTCGGTCGCTCCGTTTCTGACCCTTTGACCGGACATTTGGTAGCAATATACAAAAGTTACTTGAGTGCTCACCACATCATGCTATCGTGTCTTGATATTGTGAACCTACTGCGCAATTAAACTATCACATACCAAAAAAGTGCCAAATGTGAGCAAATAGTTAGTAGCTCTTTCTCGGCCTAGCTTTTATCGATGTTCTCGCGCGTCCATAATTATACCATCCATAATATATTCTTAAGATAATGGCTTTATATTTTTGAGTTTATAATCTTAGTTCAGCGTTTTTCTATTAAAGTTCGCGAACCCCTAGGGAAGGCCGCGCTGAAAGTAATACGTGTAGAATTATGTTCATTAATTAGATTTATGTATGAAATGTTGGTTAAAAATATAAGGATATATATGTAATTTGTATTTATTTATTTAACAAAATAATTATTTATTTAATAATAACAACAATAATAAATTACAACAATGGAAAGCCTTAATCTGTTATATAATTAGTTATGATTTATATATTTATTAATTTAATCTATACTATGTATGGTTATTTATAAATGTATTGTATGTGATTTATGTGTGTATATTTTTTGTAAGTATATTATTCTATATGTTTGTTTGTTTATTTATTATAAATTGTTGTCTTTTAAGATATTTATTTAATTTACATTTTTTTTTAATTTGGGCACCGCCATTTGCTGTCTAGCGTGGCTGTTGACTGGTAGAGAATGCCATCGGGTGTTAAATCCGCCCTGTAGACATTTTCCAATGTGTGCAAAAGATTAAATAAAATAAGTACTTAAGAATAAGGAAAATTAGGAAGTAAAGACACTTTCACAAATTCAGTAATAATACGATTATTATGACTACGATTGTAATATAGAGTAGTCCCTGGATATTTAGAGAGTCCAATGAACAGTTGCCTGCGATTGGTAAGTTGCTAGTCGGGGCGAAATCATCTCTGAAAATACGGGCCATAGTCATCCACGCCTATGTCCCGTCGTTACATTTCTTTTGGATAAGAAATTATTAGATTTATAATTAATATAATTTAATTATAAATATTGAAATAGATTTGTGGTGTATAGATTAAGAATATATCAGAGAAAGTCTGAAAGTAGTCATTGTTTGTCTTGGTCTGGATTCATTTATTTTCTATCAATTATATCTAAGAAAGATCTTATTGCAAATAGAAATGAATGGAAGTGAACAAACATGTTATATGTAAATATAATTATTCCTAATAGATTAGATAAATAGAGACAAAATTTGTAAAAAAAAATTGTATATGTAGTATACACAATTAGTTGTAAAGCAGTTTTACAATTTTTCCGATGGAACGGGAAATATGTATATTATGCGCTGGAGAATTGATGAAACTGGCGTTACGAAGAATATGAAATTATATTTTTAGGCATGGGAAAATATTATTTATTTATAAAAATATCAAAAATCTTACAAACCTATTTGTAGGTATAATTGATTAAAATTCAGTAATATTATAGTATTATAATAATTTGTAGTGTGTCCCATATAAATGGGAATCTAAGGCTCGTTTTATTCGCTTTGATGATCTATAAATATTTTATAAATAAAATACGGTATAGATACTGGATGAATTTTCTATTCTAACCTTGAATATAGCTCTTTACTGTCAAATCTGAAACAGAAATCAATGAACATATATAAAATGTAAAAACAAATTATTATTAAAATAAAAAAAAAACTCGAAACCATCTATATTTAACTAATAAAGTATGAACCTGCAAATTGTTTTCATCTATTCAAATTCCTATTTCTAGAGCGTGTATAAATTCAAATACGCAATACATAAATCGATCCATCCGTGCTAACTGGCAACCAACCGATGATCTACACTCACCATACAGCTCTGTTTGCCAGTCGCCTTGGGTTATGTTATACGTAGGTAGGTAGTGGCGCCCGATGAGAGTTGGCAACGTCGCACATTCGTGTTTTGTGTACGGGTCGGTTGGAGCGGAGTGATTCGTATGTACCTACGTGCCTCCTACTAGATAATTTATTGTGTATATATAGCCATCTACCAACGCGCACTCAGCGTTGTTGCTTACTCGTTCGTTGTACGGTTTTTATATTATTATCTTTATATAAAATGCTATAGATAAGATAGCTGTCAATTTATTTTAATGATTTTTACATCTACTTAATTTATGAAACATTTTAAAGTATTATAATATAAACAACTATATCCACCAATGTGTGGGCATATTTTGTAATTCTTTTAGATGTATTGGATTTAAGTACCTATACCTTAGTATTTTATCGTTATAAATTTTTTAACTTCATCAAATATGTAAAATAATATTTGAAATATTCTCTTTTTATGTATATTATCGAATGGTGGGAAACTATCATAAAATGAAGGGTTAGTCTTCAGTATATTTTTATTATTTATTTTTATGGTTTATCTCCAGTATATTTAAATTAAAAAAGAAGAACTTAATGTGATTTTGACGATACAAATGGTTGATTAAAACTTCGAAGTTTATTCCTGTCTTGGTTTACTTATTATTTATTATCAAAATTTGTCTGTTTTTTTAATCCCCCTTTCATAGATAGTTGAAGTTATTAGAATAATTCAGGAACAAAAAAAAAAAGAATGTTTTATTTTTTTTTTAATACAAAACATTTAATTATGTAATTCACTTTTATTTATTATATCAGCCGTTTATTGTTTACTGCTGAACACAGACCTCCCCCATAAGGGAGGGGGAGGTGTTGCCAATTGTTGCCACATTTGGCAATTGCCAAATTAGGCTTTGATGATGTTGTAAGAGGGAAGCTGTTGCCTATTCCTCGACCATGAATTTCCTTAGATGCTTCTTACGATACCCACGAGACAGGGGTGGCTCATTCTACGTCGCGACCACATGACTGACTTCATAGAAATTAATTATAACTGTATTAATACTAATGTCCAAATTGACAGTAAAATTGTCAATTAATAGCTGCCCTAGAATAAAGAGAATTTCTATGATTGCTGGTAAACTGTTTGAAACATAAGTATTTACTTAACCAGTAAGGCCGGTCGTTCGAAATTGAGGTGCGGGCGAATGACGGGTGCTCTGGAGAGTGGTGAGACGAGAGGGCCGCGAACTAAATTGTGGCTCGCAGTTCAGAAAGATATTTGTAGCGCCGTTGCCATACTTTAAACTTACTAATCATATTAATATTATAAATATATATTAATTAGGTTAAGATGATATTAAAAAAGTATAAAGTGGGACCAAAGGGGTATTTTTAGGAGTTTTTAGTTTTTTGAAAATAATTAAAAATTATTAAAGGAAATTAAACCTATTAAAAGAAGACATTGTGGCTGACTAATATTTTGGTATTATAAATTTCATCATTCTAGGCGAAACATCGACCAATATATAATAATTTCAAGATAAGGTACTTTTACGCTATTTAAAGTTCGAGTAACAAAAACATCCCCATATGAATTTTCTCCACTTAACGTTATTTTAAAAGTACCATCTCGAAAAGTATTGGGAACTTCGGTATTGGAATCTCTAGTAGGGTAGGGCGGGGCTAGAAGTCCGGCGGGTAAGAAATCCCAACATACGTATCTCATTATAGAAGCACACTAGAAACAAAAGATCTACGTAATTTGGAGCGGGGAGAGGGGCGAGTACAAAGCCGAGAGTTGCCAGTCGTAACGAAATGCACATGTGAGTAACACGATTAACGAAATTTTTTGTCACTCAAAAGTGAAAATATCTTGTTTTTGTTTTTTTCCTACATCGGCATTGAAATTCGATAAATTGTTAAGGTAAGCTTGTATTACACTGTTTATTCTATATATAAATAATGCATGCTAACAATATTTTCTAGATATTAACAGTCTTTGTTTTATAACCACGAAAATCACTGAAGGTAGGTACGGGGCAAGAAGTACATCGATGGGACTTTTTGTTTATTTCAATAAACCATGTTTTATTTCAATAAACATACTTAATAATATTGCTTTTTTGTTGTTTTAGAATGCATCATTACAAGAAAAAGACAGAGGCACTATGCCACTAGATATAATGAAGAAGGCTGCAAATGAGGTAATTAATGGTGAGAAAAAACTGTGTCAAGCTGCAAGAGACCACAATATCTGTAGGAATTCCCTTAAAAGGTTTATTGCGCGATACAAGAAGGAACCAAATAATGTAACTTTTGGATACCTTCCTACACGTAAAATTTTTACTGAGGATCAAGAGAAGAGTTTAAGCGATTATCTACTTATGGTTGCTCAAATGTTTTATGGCATGGGTCCTAAAGATGTACGTTGCTTAGCATACGATTGTGCTATTAAATTCGCAATTACTGTACCTGATTCTTGGTAAAATAATAAAATGGCAGGAAAAGACTGGATGACAGCTTTTTTTAAAAAGGAACCCTTCTTTATCTATCCGAAAACCCAAGGCTACAAGTATCAGTAGATCGACTTCGTTCAATCGTTCAAATGTTCATGATTTTTTTAATAAGCTGGCTCAAGTAATGGACAAATATACATTTGCAGCTTCTTCTGTTTGGAATGTAGATGAAACTGGAGTTTCGACTGTGTTAAAGCCTCCTAAAATTTGTTGCTGCGAAAGGAAAACGAAACGTTGGCTCTGTTACATCTGGAGAAAGGGACACTAATGTCACCGTTATAGTAGCAATCTCGGCTACAGGTTCTCATACCCCTCCGATGTTTATTTTTCCAAGGAAAAATTATCACCATCACTTCGTTCGTGATGGTCCACCGGACTGTATTGGAAAGGCAAATCCAAGTGGGTGGGTCACAGACGAGGAATTTTACTGTTTTATTCAGCATGTTATCCACCATGTAAGGCCTTCAAAAGACACTCCGATTCTTCTCCTACTAGATAACCATTCATCACATTTATGTGTCAAGACCCTTGATTTGGCTAAACAAAACGGGATAGTTATGCTATCTTTCTCTCCCCACTGTACACACAAATTACAGCCTCTGGATGTGTCTGTATTTGGTTCATTCAAGATTCATTTGCCTAGAGCTCAAGATTCATGGATGAAAAATAATGCAGGAAAAACTATGACAATATACGATATCCCATCGCTGGTCCGTACAGCATTACCTATCGCTCTCTCGCCAGTTAACATTATCAAGGGATTTAAGGCGTCAGGTATAATTCCATTTAACCGCGATATATTTACAGATGTAGACTATGTGCCAAGCAATGTAACAGATCGTATCAGTGCTTTTGATAACACCGAAAATATACCACCAGTAAATGTAATAACTGAGTCTGAGCAAACTCAAATAAATTTATTAAATATTATGCAACAATCAAGAGATATATCTCTCCAACCTTGCACATCGAAAGAAGTATTATCCCCTGAATCCGTTCTACCTGTGGCCAAAGCAGGACTCCGAAAAACCTCAAATAACAGAAAACGACACAAAGCAACAATATTAACAGACTCTCCTGAAAAAAATGAGTTAGCAAAAGAACAAGAGAAGTCTAAAAAAAAGAAAAAATAAGGCAAATAAAGAAAATAAGAAAAAGAATGTAGTAAAAAAGAAAGTTTTGAGAGAAATGAGTCCTTCGTGTTCCTCTGATGAAGAATATTTTTGTATTATATGCTGTGAATCTTATACAAAAAGCAAGTCAGGAGAGCAATGGATCCAATGCACAATCTGCAAAGATTGGGCACATGAACGATGTGTATGTATTGGTTCAAATTTAAATTTTATTCGTGTTAATTGCAATAGTAATGAAGATTAAAAAGATTTTAAGTAGTTGATTATAATTTAAGACATTTAGAATCATAGATATTATAATAAAAGATTAGCTTTTTTATTTGTTTGAACAGAATAATTTAAGTTATGTTTACATTGATTGTTTTTCTAAGTTTATATTATTTGATAATATTATTAAGATTATCTTGATTATAACTTAAAATTTTTAATTTTAAATAAAAGATTGATTTTCAAATAATCTTATTTCATTTACCCTAATTGATCAATCTACTTAGCCATTAAGACGAATGGACTTTTTACCCCGTAGGGGGGGCAAAAAGTACAAAATTCCATCTTGCCTTTAACTAAAAATTTTCAATAAATCAAATAAATAGTCACGCTTTTTGTTATTTAAGTGTAAAGCTAATTTGTATAAGGTTTTTGCAACTGGTTTTGTTGACTGTAAGTACTCTATTTTACAATCTATGTATCTGGTAGTGAAAATTGGGACTTCTAGCCCCGCCTTACCCTACTGTAGAGTTACGGAGTCATTTGAAGATAGGATCAAACTAGCATCCAAAAAGCTCGATGGTACTAAATAGAGCAAAACAGTACTTACAACTCTCGAGACATAGACTATTACTCTACCTATCAACCCTCACTGGTACCCCATCAGCATATACCGTTACCGCAGCTGGGGTTACCATTTCAACATTATCCATTAAAAAAAGACCAGCGTGGTCTATTGACGCCATTCAAAGACGGACTATGAAAATAGTCGACATTCTTAAGTTCACAGGTGGTATCGAAGTCTTAAGTCTTAGGCAAAACTTTGCCTCACTTGTATGTTCTACTGCGTGTAGATTGTGTTGTGAGAATTTTTTTGAAGTGATGGATACAGCGGCCTTTTTATATTGCACCGCTCACCATCGATAGGGAATTTACCATTTTTACCATTTATTTAAGCCTAAATGGTACGGTAAACAGTGCGGTTTAATGGGAGTTTCCTCTCAAGAATGCTCAGGACATGGAATGATTACCATGCTGAGTTTTTCTTACAAACTACAGTATGGGGTTTTTCAAAAAGGGTATATTAAGGTTTCTTTGGGGTCAACGACGCCGATGTGACGCCCCTAGTGTTACAAGCGGTGCCATAGGTTACTGTTCAGAATAAACCTTTTTATATAAGTTGACAATTATAGTTTTTTTTTTTTTTATAAAAAAGGACGCTACCCGACGATATTGTCATTTAAATTTAATAAATATAATAAATAATAATATGTAATAATAGAAGAACCAGTATATTTATAAATGTTACAGTGACAATTACCATCAGATGGACAGCTATATGCTTCTTTGTATTAAATTTGTAAAAAAAAACATAATATTGTTGTTTCTAAATGAATTTAAAAAGTTAAACACTGAAGCAAAAACTTTCAACTTTCTAGTACCGTTATTTCAAAATTCTGTAATAAATACTGTGTATTAAGACAGTATAATTAATATTTGTTTTAATTTATTGCAATTTTTTTCATGTTATAATATCAATACTTAAAATAACTTAAAATACTTAAACAACTATATTTTTTGGTCCGCTAAATGGTGTGTATATAACAAATTAACAACATGTTATTATAATAGTTAATTCAAGTTTTGTTACTTTATTAAAAATAATTTCAAAATTTACGGATTTCAAAAACATCATTTATGAAATGTTTCCATTTTTGGATACACAAAATTAAATCAAGTTTTATTGAAAAGATAGTTATGGTACTAATTAAGATAGTTATAATTCTATTCGTCAGTACAATTATAAGAAATTGATTATACAAAAAAGCTTTAAGTTTGCTTGAATAGAAAATATTATTGTTAACCGTTCGTATAATAAGATGTTACAAATTGAAATTAAACGTCCGGCAACGGTTGTTAATGATGGTATGTAAATAATGAACACAAGAGGATAATGAATGTGGAGATCACTGACCTGAAACTTTGTAGTTGGCAGGATTCGGTTCTGGCTTTAGGCTTCCCAGAACTTCGGGCTCATTCAAACTTACCCTCAGATCCGGGTTACCTATCCACCGCCTTGAACCGACCAGCAGTGTAACGACCTCCACTCAATCAGCCTCTTGGTTATGTGTTATATAATTAAAAGCGATACGAAACAATATATATTAATTTGTACGATATTCGCGGCAATATATGCGCGCGGGCGATAAGATTCAAAAACGAGAACGACTACAACGAGCGCGCGTTCTACCGACACATTCGATAACAATAGACAAGACTTTTTTTCTTTTTTACGATATTGTTGCTAGGCAAAATTTATTAAACTACAATTCGTAACAATACAGAAGTATTCGTTAATAAAATATAGGAATTATTGTATTTTTTTTTTTTGTTCAAATAAAATATGCCGATACATTGTGTTTAAAAAAATAAAGATTTTAATATTATAATTTTTGGTAAGGATGAGATATTAATACATTCCAAATAAAAAGTTGCCGAAAGTTACAGAGTCAAAATATATAACGCTTTTTATTCATTTTCACTTAGTGTCCGCCATCTTGAATAATATGCATCATGTGAGCGTAATTACTACATTCTAAATTTAAAAATGTCTATTACGGATATGGCGTGCTATAATGGAATGCGTTGATAATTTTTTTTCGCACTATTATATTTTAAACTCGTTTTCTGAATTTCTATTTACAATTTATATTAAAGTTATTGATTGGATTTGTTATAATCCGTATAAAATTTGTCTAATTCGTAAATTTAGTTAATATGTTTACAACGACTTGTTTATGTTTTGATATGATAAATACTTAGGATAAATAGTGTAGTAACATTGCACAAAAACGGTCATATATTTTTTTGTAACGTTTATTATTTAGTACGGTTTTAATATTTACGAAGTTTTAAAAAGATATTAATCTTTATCAAATGAGTTACAACTTAACAAGCAGTAATATAGTTTAAAGTTATTACCATAGCAAATTATCTTATTTGGATGTTGATTTAAAGAAATTATTTGAGCGCTTTCACAACGCACAACGCACAGCATGTATAATTTGTAATAAAGTTTTTTATAACAAACTTTGTTTATTGATCTTTCCATTTACTCTATAAGCAAATTTGTATTATTTCAATATATGAAGAAAGTTATAAAAATTTTAAACAATCAACCAATCTTTAAGCTATTCCCCTATTTGGGGTCAGCTCTCCTCAGTTTGGCGCCATTCGCAGGTGCTCGGTGGACGTACTCTACCTCTTTTGCCTTTGAAAATGGCCATCAAAGAAATAAAAAAATGAGGGTTGTATCGAAAGCCTATATGTTTTTACATGCATAATTTGGTTAGGTTTTATATAGAATTGTTAAAATGTAAAATTGCAAAACGTATAGAATTCTTTCAGCTACCATTTTACCTATCAAGATTTTTAAATCTGTTGCAGTTTTAACATATTACGTCAAACATATTTTTTTTATTTATAAGTTCCTGAAACCGAGCTTTTAACCATCCAGACTTTTTTTTCAAAAGTCATTTTTCTTAACTCAATACCAATAAACAACCATACCGAGTTTCAGGCTTACAGCAATTTGTATTTTTATGACGATATTTAGTTTAGTTGGGTAATAAAAGTTACTTTTTTCAATAAAATAGGGAAACTACTGAGTAATCAATACCACCGAGTCTGTTAAGGTATATGATACTTTATGTATATAAAAATGTACCTGATAAAGTCAGTATTAATTCAACATAACATAATGATTTACAAAAAATAATAAAAAAAAAAAAAAAAAACTTTCATCATACCACTCTTAAAAATACCATTCATACAATTAAGATCAGCTTGCTGTTGACTCTTTTGGCGTATAGTTCATTTCCATTGTATTAATCAATTTTCATATTGGGAGATTAACTCGATGAAACTTGACAGTTAATCTTAATAAATATAAATACTAAAATAATGTAGTATTAGTTATCTTATTTAAAATCGTTATTTTTGTAATATCATTGACTGTATATTTTAAAATGTGAAACAAAACAAAATTTTACAATCAATCGCAGTACTTAAACTTCAATAGCTCATACGTATATGCAGTATTCGTTCACACATAACGGATGAGCCAGCTTGTCATTGTTATTCAACCATAATTTGGGGAGTCCAATGATTTCGGCCTATTACGCCACCACCTGTATGGTCATTATAGAGAGTATGACTTGTTCCAAGATACCTGATTCCGTAAAAAATATTAATTTACTAAACCTATTACCATTACGTACCTTACGGCACTCGATATACTCATTCATGAAATCAAGGTCAAGGTCTGAAGATTAGATCAATGCAGTGTATTGAATTTTTAATTGTTTATGTTAATTTTAACGCTCCGTAATGGATCTTTTAGGCGGTAAAAGGTTTAAGTCTTTTGTTTTGTCTGTCTAATCAGCTATAAATGTATTTTAGAGATATAAAAATATGCACTGTAGATAGTTTTAAATTAATTAATTTGGCATAAGTCAAATATGGCATTAATTTCAGAGGTAGAATTGAGGTAACTATAATAAATGTAGAAAGATGTCCATGGTACCCCTTATGTTGCCATTCCCAAACACTAAAATGTTATGCACTTGTGAGCGACGTCATTTTATTGCCACACTTACCCGCAACACAAGCTTGCAACCATTACTGATTGAAGTATGAAACAGCAGTGAGATATGAGTATGATCTGTTTAAACTTTTCTTTCTGGTGTCTATTTTTAAATATTTATTTACAAATATTCACATGATCTTCGTATAGTTGAAGTGTAGTGTTATATACTATATATGTCTGTTTTAACATCTATATAGGGCCGCAAAGTACGTTTGGTCGCAGGACGCAGTTAGTATTGCGATCGATGCTAGCCGGCCTCCCATGTTGCAAGGGTGAGGGAATGGTGCGCAGAGCGGCATTGCGCCGAACTTACCTCGATGCCGGGCGGTATGCTCCCCGACAATTCGTATATTATATCCATGTTTGCTCCATTGGTAACGTAACGTTCATAATTATAAATATATAGGTCGATTTGTTTCCATCATTTTTTTTTTTATTTATAGAAATTAAATTTATCAATTTCTTTTATGTCGATTCCAAATTAGGACGATTTCATTACGTTTCTATTTAATAATGATGCCCTTCATGCGTTGCCATCTCTAAGGACTAAGGTGTTATGTCTGTGTACCCTATAATTTCACTGCCATATTCCACTCTTCAAACCGAAACAGACTATGCAAACACAAGAGCCTCACGGAAGAAATACGAACAAGACAGAGGTACCCAAGTAAATAAATTTATATAATCTCAGCTAATTACTGTATGTTCGAAGTTCGAAAAATTAACTATTCAGAACTGATCTAAATTAAATTTGAATTGAATGTACATCTGTGTCAGGTCAAATACTTTACAATCCACCGCTCTCTATATATAATTAAAAACAAGAGAAAAATCTCTTGATAAAATTCGTGTGGGACCAATTCGGACTAAATTCTTACAATTCATTATATCAGCCTTTAACTATCCATTGCTGAACATAAGCTCCCTCCTTTTTGAGAGGTTTTGCCACGCTTAGCAGACGGATTGGCAACTGCAGTTAGACTTTAGAGATGTTATAAAATGGACACTGCTGCCCATATCTCGCCCTCTCTTAGTTGCCTTTTACGACACCCACGGGAAAGAAAGGAATGGCCTATTCTACGCCGGGACCACACTGCTAATGAACGTATGGAGATCGTTCTGACAGGGTTATATTGCTAGTAATGGGGCCGCTAGACTCCCTTACTTACAAACTAACAATATTTTCCCTTAAGCTACGTAAGCATAGTGACAAAAAAATTTTGCAGTATTGTACTCGTTGGTATATTAAAAGAAAGTGGGTGGGGGACAAATTTTTCATTTTTTGTTATCTTCTACAGGAGACTGTTGATTGAAGTTCCATTGAATGACTACAAGTTATTTGAAAAAGTTCACGAAAATGAAGTATGGACAGTTTTCTCAGAATAATGTTTCCGTATTAAATAGGGAAGATTACCCCCTTTTAAATTTTCCTAAACATTTAGAAATGGGTAACCTTCGCTATTTCTTGAATATCATAATTAGCCGTATAGACACTGTCGTTCCATCGACGTAAAAGTAGTAAACAGTACTTTACGCAGCACAGTACACCAAGTATACAATGACGTATATGAGATTGTAATGCCCATGTACTGTGGGGTTTACGTTACCAAGTATCTTAACGTTTTGTTTTATATGATTAGTTATAGAGAACGGATTATTAAAAAAAAAAAACAGAAATATATCAAATTACAATTAATTACAGGCTTCACTTATGCTTACCATACTGCGTAAAGTGAGTTTGGTCGCTAGTTATAAAATAAACATGACGTGTTCGATCAACAAACTGCAA